ATCCCCAACAAAAAAGTTCCTAATGAAAAGAACTTTTCACTCGAAGAACATTGCTTAAGCCGAAAAATGGTGCTTTATATCTTTGCTCCATTCCCGTTCCACATCAATGAGCAAAGAGGGGCAGCTGTAAACACCATTTTTTCAACACCAACACCTACCACCCCATTTTTTCAACACCAACACCAATCATCCCATTTTTTTCAACACCAACCCCATCACTCCTTGTTCCCTGCGAAAATCAAGGCATAATCAACTGAAAAATCATTGTAAAATTGGCTATAAAAGCCAAATGCATGTAATCAAAAAAGGGAGGATTTTCTCTCCGATTTTTCTAGAGAAATACAAGCATTTAAGGGTAAATTTTTTATTTTCGTATTCAAATACTAATTTTTTTTACTCTATGCTATTACGAGAAAATACTAAAATAATTTAGAATCAGAGAGAAAAGAAATAAAAATCAGATTATTCCAAGGTATTTTGAATATTTTTTTTAGTTTTGAATCTAATATTTTTTTTGAAACTTTGTATGTAAAATAAGAAGGAAAAAGAGTGAGTAGATTATTACCTTAGATCGGGACGGTTCGCAGTGGTGGCCATGGTGGTTCATGGCCAACGATCGTTTATTCCACGAAATAAAAATGAAATAGAAAAAGAGGAAGAAAGTTGAGAGAAATAATAAAGAGAAGAGGAGAGGAAATGAAAAACCATGCGCAGAAATGATTCTGGGGAGAGAAAAAAGTAAAGTTATTTGGGTTTTGGGCTAATCACATGTCAAGTCATCCATTTTTAATATGTTTCATGTTTAGTTTAAGTGTTAGGGTAAATAGCATACTAGGTCATCATAGTTTTAGCGTGTTTTGCATTTAGATCACTAGTTTTAGGTTAAATCACTTTATTGGTCCTTTAAGTTTAATGTGATATGCGTCTTTAGTCATTTTTAGGGTTAATTGTGCCTTAGGTCCCTTCAAGTTTAGCGTTTTTTGTGTTTTGGTCACCATTTTCTTTTACTTTACATGATTTGCGAATTGGCTACTTTGTTTTGTATTATTTTAATTTAGTCCACTATTGTATGTATTATTTGTGTTCGAAATGGGTTACTGATGTTTATGCTATTCTATTTTAGTCCTATATTTATTATTTTATTACGATTCTAGTGCTCATGTTATGTGATTTTCTTGTTTCATGCCATGATATTTATTTTTATTAATGTTTATAATTTTAAAATTATTTTTCACTCATTTTTGTCACTAAGATATTAATGAATATATATGTATATTGTTTATTTGTACCATTAAAGTATGTTTTATGTTTTAAGTATTTATTTTACTTATATTATTATATATTACTTTATTATATACATAATATTATATGTAGAGCACGATAAATATTATTTTATATTTTCATATATTTTAGAATAAATATTATGTCATACGTTTAATATCATATTTAGAAAATATGTATATTTATAAAGTAAAACAAAGTTAAAATTAACCTTAATGTGTGTATTTATTTTTTAAATATATCAATGTATCATATTTTATTCTGTTTGAAAATAACCTTAGACTTTTAAATCTTTTAGGTCCGTTATTTTAATTCTTTGACATGTTTATTCCCCAAACTATGTTTACACATTTAATATTTGACATAATTAAATATGTTAAATAGAGCCTCCATTTTAGGTTAGATTTCAAACTAGTCTTTAATTTAGGGGATAATTCGAGTTGGCCCTCGCGTAAACGCTCGAGGGACCATCTCGGTTATTTGATTTAATATTTTTTTAAAATCAAATATGATTAATATTAGAACCTATATTTTTAGGTTTAAGCCCCTAGGTTCCTTAATTATCATAATTTGATACCTTAAGTTAGAAAAGGCCTTAATTTTATCTTAGATTAATTAGGATTGAATAAGATTTTGTCCGAGTGCATTTTATTTTAAACTTTAAGGCACTGTTCACTTATTAAGGAGTTAATAGTATATCCTCCGCGATCGTGCTCAGGGGGTGACTACTGGTAATTCCCTGAATAAGTCAACATCCTTTTCAAAACTACATCATGTTTTCTAAAAATAAGGCAATATTCGGTTATTAGGCACAATAGCTGATCTCCCGCATTTACGCTCGGGGGAGAATGCTATCGGTCTCAATAAACGAATACCCTTTTCAAACTTTGCATCCTTAATGATTTTTAAATTAAATAAAGATCGAACTCAAAGTTTCCGATTTTAAATATAGGGTAATCAACTAGGTACCAATTTTTGGGCGCTTGTGGGGGTGCTAATCCTTCCCCACGCGTAACTGACTCCCGAACCTGATTTCTGGATTTTTGCAGACCCCAAAACTCGATATTTTATTAAAATAAAATATTTTATTAAAATCACCCAGTTTTTACGGTGTTCCAATCTCACCTTAAATGATTGGTGGCGACTCCTCACATTTTGAAACGATTTTCAAAAAGAAAACCCCGAGTCGGTATCGGTCTTTCCCCGCCCGGGCGAAAAACGGTGTCGACACTCATGATGATTCCTAGTCAACCAAGCCCAACTGAAACAAGGTTTCTAAATATAAATGGAACTCTGTTTGTCATTACCATGTCTATGGTAAACAGATGAAATCTGTCTTTGTTTCCATGCTCGTTTGATCAAGATCTTATGTCCTAGATATGAGTATAGAACATCATATATATTACAAGACAGTTGTCAAATCTGTTCCATTTTCTTAATTGATCGTTTTGCATGTCATATTTTTCAATGAAATATTTTTATGTTTGAGGGGGTGGGTTTACAATCTTTATCATGAGTAGCTAATAATTATGTTTGAATCCACAGACACATCCTACACAATCATGTTTCATGTCGTCAATTGATCTCCACACTCACTACTCATACCAGGTATGTGCCTTTTCGTATCAGTATAAAATTAGTGCCTGTTACAATTCAAGTCATTTGTAAATGTTTTGTCAGTTATTTCATACAGGTCACTGCTAATGTCATTTTGGCTTTAATTTGAAGGCTAAAATACACTTGTTACCCAACTTTGGATGACATTTTAATTTGGTCAACCGATTAGGAAATTCAGCATTTTAGTTGGTAACATTCAAGTTTTTATGGCCACTCAACCGTTAATCTCTAATGAAATCATGTCGGAGCATGAATATATGATGTTGGTGAGGCATGTTCAAGTTTTTTCTCCTTTACATCTCTTCTTTCCGTGATAGAATTTTCTTTCTCTTGTATTTTGCCTCCTCATCCCTAAACTCTTTTACTCCTTAATAGCTGAGTGAGAAGCCAATATATGTGTTTTCTTATTGTCTTTTATACGTTCTGAAATGATGATTATCCAGATTATGTTGCCGGAATTTGTAGCAATAGTAATGGCTCCAAGAGATTCTTTGAGGTGAGAAGCATACTACTATATGATTAATCCATTTTTTTTCTTTTGTACTATATGTTGAGTCATTGTTATCTTTTCATGAATCCGAATGCAGAAAACATGGAATTTTTCGTTTGACAACTCCGGGCGGTATGTTTGTCATCAGACAGTGCCAGAAACGCGGCTTTCACCCTCATGTCCAACCTCCTGATGGTGGCCCCCTTTACAATACTTGTACAAATGTGTATATGAATCCCAATTTGAACTTTGAGGTCATCGACCTTCGATGATCAGTCATAGCATACGTGCAATGGCTGATTTCTGTCATTACCAAATTTGCAATTAGGGTTGCAGTAAGTGTAAAAAAAGAATGCGCGTCTAAAAGGAAACGAGACAATTGAGAGACACTGTATACCAATATTTGGATTTAAGAAAACTGCAAATTTCACTTGTACTAGCTCCGGTGAGTTAATTGGACAGAGATCGGATTTAAGTCTTAAGAAAGTAAAACAGAAATCTCAAAGTATGATTTTGAGCATGAAATTCTAAAGTCAGTGTTTTTCTACTTGCAATTAATAAAATATACATCATATAGGCATGCAATTTTATTCTAATTACAAATATGCGGTATATATATTTAAGTAGTTATAAAATATATTTAATAAAATACTCAAATTTTAAATAAAGATATTAAGATTATCGGTAATTGTTAATTTTTTAGTAGATAAAACATGTTTCAAAGGAAATATGTTAATTTTTTTAATATATTGACTGATACCTTCACAATTGGCAAAAATAGTTACTCTAAGCCATATTCTTTTTTTTTTTATTTGAAGTACTTTAACTAATGTGTCATTTTAAAGTATAGTACGTTTTCTTTAGATAAAAATCATTAGTTAATTTATAGTAAACATCTTGAGATGATGTGACAGATTTACATGACATTGCATGTTAATAAAACAAGGTTATATATATAATATATTAAGATATTGATGTGATAAAATGATACGTTAACAAAAAAATAATAATTTTTTGATGTCTAAAATATTTTCTTTTAAAATTAATTTTATATATTTTATTTAATGGTGATCTAGTACTGCAATTAAGTTTAATTGTGCTTTAGTTATAAAATAAAGTAGGTATCAACTATTCAAAAAGAAGAAGTAGAAATCAAATATGTATGGGTAACTAATTTCTAATAAATGAAATAAAAATCGATTTTTATACAATATCTTTTGATATTATTTTCATTCAATTTAAGTCCGGAAAACTTATTTTTACATTGTGAAAAAATAGAAATAAAATAAAAATCTAACGTCGATCAATTTGATTAATGAAAAAAGAGTAGATAAACGGAACATTTGTCACCATTTCAACCCTCCTTTATAGAAATGAAAAAAAGTCTATCTAACATTGTATTTGATAATGTATATACGCATCCGTTCGCTCCCAGTTGCTCTTACAAACCATCCTTCCATGTAAATACATATATAAAAGAATATCCTTTACATGAGAAGGAAAATTAAAACCCCTATCTTCTCAACTCAACATCCAACCCATTCCCGGCCCTTCTCAGCAACTCATGGCACTCGTCAATCCCAACTAATTTTTAAGATGAAACTATACGATGTCAATGTCGTTTCCTTTTTACTTTATAACTATGTACTGATCAGTACTACCTGTACTGATACGGTACCGAACAGTCAATTAGTTTAAAGTTTAGGTAGGAATTAATCCTTTCCCTTGTAGGAAAAGTTTTAAACATATCTAAACTTTTTAATGTCTGGATGATTTTTGCTGAACCCAAAAGCCGAAAAAACAAGGGAGAAGGGGGGGGGGGGTAAAAGGGCTCATTCCGTGTGTATTATCCTTAGCAAAGGAGGAAGGAAACTAGTCATAATTGGGAATAACTGCCTATACAAAGTTATTTACAAACTAACGTCTGTAAGTCTTCGGGAAAAGAGAAGCCTCTCATTGTTGAGCGGAAGCGCAGTCTGATGCTAGCGTCTGGGTCTGAGCCTGAGTCTTGATCACCCGGGTGTTGTATGATCCACAATATTCACACTTGTGATACAACCAATGGAACCGAGCCATGCCCTTTCGGTCGCAATCGTTGCACAGTATATCCTGTGGATTGCATATGCCCTTGATGTGAGCAAATTAATGTTGTACAAAGATATTGCTTGAGATAAAATCTGTAACTTAAGTCCATTTAAGTCATTCTATAGTTTTAATTTTTAAAAAGTAACCTCCATCAAGTCTAAAATTTGAATCTTAAATATCTATAACTTTTTTTCATATTCTTAACCAGCAATTGATCTATTAAACATGAAATTATGTAATGAACCCCTGCTCTGTCCCACCAAATCCGAAAATGTTGGTTTTCTAAGGTAAGAAACAAATGTACCTGATATCGATCCCTATATTCTTCAGGAAGCTCTTCAGCAGCCAACAATGCATCAAGCATGCCAAAGTAAACCTGAAAGATGACCGAAACAAAAAATGATCGCATAATTATGTCCTGGAATCAATATAATGAGGAAAAAGGGAAAAGCGGTATTAGGGATGCATTTTGAATCTTCAAGTAGATAAAGGAGCATAGGAAAAAAAATGAGCACATGGGTATGAAAAGATAGCTTTTTATAAAGTCGTAAAAAGTCTAGAGTGCAAGAAAGTTCTTTTACCGCCATATCTCCCAAGGATTTACTGCAAAGTGGACAAGTGTAATGACTGCAAGTGTATGCCTAACAGGAAAAAAAAGATGTGAGGTTAGCTTATAAACCAATTCTCCAGTATTCATTCACAGAATAATTATACATGAAGAAACAAATGAAGATGCGTATTGGGAATATGAGGAAAGGAAAGCCAAGAACCTGAAAACAAGCTGAATGCATGTAGTGGCCACAAGGTAGAGCTCTGACTGTTGCACTTGACGTGAACAAAAAATCACAACAGATAGGGCAGTTGGTTTCTAAACTTTTCTCCAGGCACTTGTGATTCACTAACTTTGTCCCGAGGCAACAATTGCATGTCATGCAATGAAAAAAATCAATGCCAAGTCCTTTCCCAACACGACACAGATTGCAAAATGGACAATGATACACATTCCTGCAGCAGAAAAATGATTAGGATATAAATCAAGATCAGGATAAGCACCATCTCTTCCATTGAAAACCTAAACCAACCGGTCATTCTTTATTATTTCCAATCATCATTCTGATTACACTCGAGAAACAAAAGAACCAGTTTTACTTCTCTCCTATATTCTTCCACTATCAGAATGCAGGTGTACAAAGGGAAAGGAAAGGAGAAAATGGTGGACAACTATATTACTACTGAGGTACAGGTATCAGAAACAGCCACTGGCATGTTCAATTTTTTTAAAAAGTTTTTCTAGGTATTTGGAGGATCCTTAGAGGATCATACATACACTCATATCTAAAGATTTGCCAGATGCGACTTCTGGATACACATACTTCAAGCCAAAATAAAGAGACAGAGGAACACAGCTGGACAGAAAAATAAGTAATACAAAACAATTTACGAATTTGCTGAAAAGAAAATGAAGAGGAAAACAAGAAGAATCTTACATCTTTCCAGACTAAAGAAATAAATCCTTAAATTGCCTCAGGCGCTATAACAGTGTTTAAGGTTGTATGCCACTATAACATTACCTACAATTCTAGGTTATCATAAAGTTATCAGTCATTGGACAAACAGGTGTCAAAGCCCATGATTTCATATAAAAAGGAACTGACATTAGTACAAGCTGGTTATTGGTCATCAAAAGGGGTAATAAAGATGTCATAAACACAAAAAAGGGAATTTCTAAGAGCTTCAACAAGAAGGGGTTAGAAAATAGTCTGCTTATTCACAAGGATAATTGTGGTTTACAACAACTTAAAATGGTAATCGAAGGCTCTAGAGGTTAAATATCTGAGATGACGAGCACAGTAAAAATGAAATTCAGATGAGCAAAGATGTTGCTGCAAGTAGTAAGTTGCCAAGAAGAGCATTACCTTTCATCATCAAAAAACTTGCAAATACTACAATAATACTTTGCCATTGAAAGTCCATTGCAAGAAGGTGCAACACATATTGGCCCAACAGGTTGAATCTTGAGGCAACTCATGCACATCATCTCCAAGGTTGCTTTCCTGAAATGTGAGCAAAAACAAAAAATCAATATGCACAGAAATCCAACCTCAGATTAGAGGATTTATTCAAGCTTACCTATCCATAGAGTGATCGCTCACATTATCATGGCAAAATCTGCAAGTAAACAACTTCCCACAGCAAGCAGCACGGAGTTTGCAGTTTCTTTTATAGTGCTCACAACCAAATATTTGCTTATCTGGATCACGAAATGATGGAGAACATCCCAACACATCTTCACCTTTAAATGCTTCAGTAGATGCTTCTTGGGGCAACTTTTGCTGAGCAGCTATCCAACGACTAAAACAAACAATTAAGTTAATGATTATTAAGCAATCATGTGAAAAATTGAAAATGAACCGTTGTTGAAACACAAAAAAAGAAACAGAAAGCTAGAAGACATTATAATGCCAATATCATTAGGAATCAAATACTGACAACGCAGATTACTGTCATGGAACAAACCTAGTTAAAGATTCTGAACAAGATATGCTTTTCTCCTAGGATCAAGAGTTGAGTCCCGATAAACCTTTCTGATCTCGGACTCGAGCTCATTTTGATTCATCCGGAAAAATCTTTCCACCCAGGCTTAAACATTTGATCACATTGTTCCAAGCTGTCTTGAAAATCATTATCTGGAGCAGAATATTAGAGAAATAAATTAACATGTTTCACCCAACAATGTTCAAACCAAATGCATATAATTACCAAATACCTTTTAGAGAAATGCCAGTTTCTGACATTTCATTCTGCAAGAACGATTCAGAAGGTTTTTTCCAACATTCGTTAAGCCACTCATTGAACATGGTATTTTGGTTGCTTGCTTCCATGTGTCCATCATTTATTTGCTCCTCCTGAGTAAGGGCTGAAGTTACCCATGGCAGCATTGACTGAAGCACTTCAGCGCCTGTGGTTCCAATTATGCGCCCAACTAGTTTGTCTTGCTCCTCCACAGAAAAATGTTTACCAAATAATGGCCAAAGTTCAAGTTCCTCCCGGAAAATATGATGATCCAAGGTAACTCTGATGGATTTGCACATCCCCTGAAGCTTAGTAGCCAGCTCATTATATTTTCTCAGACAATCTCCATCGCAGGCATCAGAAAGTTCAATGTTGGTATCAGTGGCCACATGACCTCTGGTAGAGCTTTCAAGAAGGTGTGAAAGTTCAGAAAGAACATTGTTAATGTCTTCAAACAATGTTTCCTCCTGCTTATGATCTAGTGTATAGGAGTGACTAACATTATGAAGCGTCTCTTTAGACTCCAATGCTGGGAAAACAATATCATCCTCAGCATTACTATGAGCTCTGTATAAACCCCACAATAGATGAAATCTTTCCAATAAATTGCCTAAGGAATGTCTCATCACGATCACCGAGCTTTCCAGATTCAACATCCAGATATTCCAAGTCTTTGCTGATGGCTTTATGAAATTTTGAAAATAGTATCAATTGGTCGTTCTTCTGAGCCAATGCTGGACAAGTTATTATCTGTTTCCCAGACAAAAAGACTGGAATTAAGAGATGGAGCGGAGGAGCTAAAAGACAAAGATCTCAGAGACTTGGCTGTTAAAAGAGAACTTATCCCCAGGTTATTAGAATTTACTCCTAAACCAGGAACACAGCATGCCCTTTCATTGCAAGATTGCTCATGGGCATTGAGACTAACTGACCGGTCAGAGGCACCATCAGTTCTGCATGAATCAGAAACGTTTCTTTTGACTGGTCTCTTGACTTCATCTCCATGAATTGATGAACAGGTCTCATTCATGCACAAGGAAGAAGTGCATGCACAACATGACTGAACAAAGTCTTCTTCAATGTCAGTGAACCTTTTCACACAGCAACTGTTGCCACTTGGAGACAAACACATGCCTTGGTTACGGCCCTTGCAAGCCCAACCAGAAAAAAGTGTCATCAGAGCAGTATCTGTTGCTGGAGCTGAAGCAAGAAAATATCAGTGTGTTAGACAGGAGTCATGGAGTGGTGAAAGATTTACCTCTATTACATAAATTGACTAAATGACTGTATAGGGAATGGGTATGAGACCTGCAAACTGAATGTTCTTCAGGAAATTCCGAGCTTCATTGTCTGTTAATGACCCAACCAGCCATGGCAAGACACGCTCAATCATTCTCAAAGGCATTACACACAAGCTTTGATACAAAAGTTCACGCTGCCTTTTGAAACTAAAGTTCTTTCGTGCAATTGGAAGAACCTAGAAATCAACACGAATATATTAGAAACATTTACATTGAAGGCTTGTTTCAGTAGCATAGGATTCTACACATGCACAACATTATTTAATATAATAAATCACAGCTCACGAAAACATAGAGCTTTAGTTCCAAACTTAGAGCATAAATGGACTATAAAATATTAAGCATTTATTAATATCATAACTAAACAACACTTTCTCCTTCCCTGCTGATGTGGGTCATTATAGAAAAAGGAGAAAGGAAAAGGCAACGGTTTAATCAGAGCACCCACCAAACAACCCAAAAAAGAAAATCACCTGAACTTCCTCATTTTGGAAATGGGTCAGTATAGTTTCCATTATTTGATCAGCATGCTCACATAACTTGGAATAAAATTCAGCAGAAGAACTAGAAGTTGCTCCCGCATTTTGAATACTTTCAATCAAACACCTAAAGTCATTGAATTGGCTTTCTTCTTCAGCATGCTCCTGGGTGAAAGACAACTCTTCATCAACTGCAGGGAATATTACCTTGTCCTCTGCAATACTTCATAATAGTAGCAACCCAATCATCAATTTCCTGCTTAAAATATATGCAAACAAATATACAGCAAAACTAGGGTCTTTACAGAATCAGGTCATGATATCAAAACATATACGTCGGAATATTTTAAAATTCATAAGCTTCTTCTGTAATTAATAGCCATAATTCAGTAAAAGCACTAGGGATGGATATCAATTTTTGTTTCTTTGGTCCATTCTTATTCATATAACTTGAAGAAGACTGAGAAAAAGAGAAAAAAATTGACAAACTAGAGATCAGAGCTGGTATGAATGGTACCATTGCTTTTAGGTTTCTCTTTCAAGATTGTTTCCACACAAAGAAAAAGAACCGTAACCAGTTCCACCTGCCCTGGAAGTATTTTTTCTCCTTTTAACTTATCCTTTTGAGATGGGAGCTGAAGAAAGGAGGGGAGGGTTTTTACAACAACAAGAAAGAAACAGCAGAGGGAACAGCCTAAGATTATCCTGACCTGGGAACATATACAATTGGTATTTAAACTTATACTATAGAATATTTTTATGTTAAAGTGAGAAATCATTTTGATAATAGGATTTGTATTTAATGTCATTTTTAATAAAATGATAAATGAGTTTACAAAGAAATAAATGATAAATTAAAGGAAACCTAATTTTAAAGGCATGATGGGCTGGATGCTTGTGATAACTTCTCTGTGGTAGAAAGTCAGACTCAGTGGATTATTAAGGTAGAATTTGTTATTATGGTAAAGGGAAAAGTATAAAACAAAAAGAGACAAATACCTGTGAAAGATGCAAACCTCAGCAATAAATTGCAATCGTTCATTAAAGACTGAAAGATTATTGAAATCCCCAAAGAGTTGAATCTTCCTAGCCCCCTCAGCTATCTCATTCAACTCTCTTTTAATAGCATTATGCCAAAGCAATATTTCATTAATTGGATGTGTGCCATCCATCTCTGAATAATTACTGTCGGGCTCCAAACATTTTCTTTTCCCTGTCTTGAACAACTCACAAGGACAGGTTCTACTGTCCAATGACTGGGTTATGCCATCAGCAGAATCTAGCTGACACTTTCCTAATAAGTCAGCACCATTTCTCCCTTCCATCCAAGTGAATATAACCTTTAGAAGTAAAAGAATTAATAAGCTCACAAAAAAATTGTCCAAAATAAATAGAGGGCTATTGAAAATAGAAATCTTGCCTGCTGCAGAAGCTTTTCTTCTGGAACTATTTTGCTTAAGCATTTCTGCATGTCCTGATATTCATCAGGTGAAAGAAAAGATGAAAGCCATGGAAGGAACTCTGCCACCATATTCACAGGAATGCTGCATAAAAACTGCCAAACTAGAGATGCTTGCTCTTCAAGAGAGAACTTTTCAATAACCAAGGGAAAAACCTGTCAATTCAAAGAGAATACCATGTAATCTGAAAATACAGCCTTGGTCTAGCACATGTCATCTTGTGAATTGATGATTAAAGCAACAACAAGAGAAGACCGCTAAATCATGTTAACAGTAGTTTTAGATGATAAAGAAAATAGCTATTGGTATTGTCTTGAATTTGTTTAAAATAGATATTTTTCAAAGAAAAAATATTTATACTATCAAATTGGCATCTTCTTCACATAGCTTGGGAAATTTAATATGTTAAAAACAATAGTGCAGCTGTAAATGTAGTAAGGTCCTGGAAAATTGAAGATGGATACATTAAAAGCATGATGCTGAATAATCCTCAAGAGTAAAATATAGATCTTATATGGTTTTTCCTTTCTTCTACTTCCCTCTTTCTCCAATCAAATCCCCTGATTCCTTTAGTGAATTCAAGCATGTTTTTGATCAATTAAAGAAACCATGTTTCTCTCATTCCTTGAAGATCATATTATCTGTGTCTCACATTGGAATTTTGTAGGTATTTGGAGCAGTATCTTCAGTGAAAACCATCTTTCACAAATCCATTATCAGTAAACTCCTTGGATATTTTACATTTTTCTCCCAACACATCAAAAGAATGGTGACAAAGGCAAAGTTTTCCTAATCTTCAAAGAGATAAAATGTCCCTGCTCCAGCTATTTACTTTTCCATGGTGCAACCTTGTCAGACATAGAGGCATCACAAATAGCCTGGCATGTATTAGGCTGCAACTTTCCGATTACAAGGAAAAACTTATGAAAGATCAAACATATGTGTAGTAGAAACATCCGTAACCAAAATTTGTACCCAAGTTTAAACAACATAGGTCTCATTTTTTTTTTTTCCTTTTTCAATATAGTTTACCATGCACATGTTGTTGAAAAGTCAATAATTTGCAGCTTTCAATGGTCATATTTTGCTGCAACCACCGTGAATTTGGTGGTTAAAAGTTGGCAGCAAGTTGGTTGAAAGTTGGCAGCTGAAATGGTGGAAAATTGGTAAGGGAAAATTACTAAATTAAGTCCATGTACTTTAGGGTATTTATAAGATTAGTCCTTAAACTTCAACTATAAATACCCTGACCCATTTAGGTTCAAAATTATCCCAAATCATTTCTTTCTCCTAATACTAAATACTAAAGAGTTTAGAGAGTTTTCTTGTGAGTTGTAAGTGTTTTGTAAACACCTGTAAATTTTCTCTCTTAGTAAAATATCTGCAGCAGTCTAGAGACGTAGGCATAATTGGCCGAACTCCGTTATCAATTTTGGGTATTATTTTTCCACTTTATTTTTCGCATTCTCACTAATCTGGTTATAGGGAAATTACTCGTTCAATTTCCCAACAATTGATATCAAGAGCTTTTGGTGGTGAATTTTTTCGGGTTTTCTGCGATGTTACTATTCACGTGAATAGTGAATTTTGTGAATAGTAAAATTTGGTCGGCGATTCGAGTTTGTCGACGGAGGTGTTCTAATACACAGTCGTTCGCAAAATTGTCAGAAACGATCCAAAAAAGAAGCCAGATTCGAGTGGGAGCGATGGCTGCAGACGAAGGGAATGTGAAAATTGAGAAGTTCGATGATACAGACTTTGGCTTTTGGAATATGCAGATTGAAGATTTTCTGTACCAGATAAATCTATATCAACCTCTTTCAGGAAAGCAACCAGAGGGTATGAAGGATGAAGACTAGGCTCTTCTCGACAGACAAGCTCTCGTAGTTATCCGACTGACGTTATCCCGCAATGTTGCTTTCAACATAGCAAAGGAAAAGACCACGGCGGGTCTTATAGCGGTTCTCTCCAGTATGTATGAGAAGTCATTGGCCTCAAACAAAATTCACTTGATGAGGCGATTATTCAATTTGCAGATGGCGGAAGGGGAATCAGTGGCTCAACACCTAAATGAACTCAAAACAATCACAACCCAGTTGAGTTCCGTGAAAATTGAATTCGATGATGAAATTCAAGCTTTAATTCTCTTATCATCTCTACTTAGATAGTTGGAATGCTACTGTTACAACAGTCAGCAGCTCGTCGGGAAACAGTAAATTGAAATTTGACGATGTTCGGGATTTGGTATTGAGTGAAGAAATTTGACGGAGAGAATCGGGTGAAGCATCAAGCTCCTCAGCCTTGCACACAGAGTCTAGAGGGAGAACTTCAGAAAGAAATCCAAATCGTGACAGATCGAAATCTAGAACGGGAAAATCAAGAACGGGAAAGAAAGCTTTTAACCGTTATAATTACGGCAAGAAGAATCACTTTAAAAGAGATTGTCGAGTACCGAAGAAAGATACCAACGCATAGGAATCTGCCAACGTAACAGAGGAAACATGTGATGCCATGATTCTAAACGTCAATAGTCCGATTGAATCATGGATCTTGGATTCAAGGGCATTTTTCCACTCCACCCCATGTCAAGAAATCATGGAGAACTATGTCAATGGTGATTTTGGGAAGGTTCATCTAGCTGATGATGAAACCTTGAAGATCGTCGGAAAAGGAGACATCCGATTAAAGTTATCAAACCAGACCACCTGGAAGCTAAGAGAGTGAGACATATTCCTAGCCTCAAAATAAATATGATTTCTGTAGGACAAACTTGATGGAAAAGGATATTGTACAACTTTTTCAGACTGTGAATGGAAGATTACCAAAGGAACACTCGTCATTGCTCATGGTAAGAAGACTGGTACTCTCTATGTAACATCAAACTTGGAGAATATCATTGCAGTAGCAGATGCTGATGGAAAATCAAACCTATGACACCAAAGGAATATGTAGACAGCAGTTCTCATGACACCGCAGTAGAATGGCATAGCAGAGCGCATGAACATAACTTTGAATGAACGTGCCAGAAGCATGAGGATACATGACGGTTTGCCCAAAATGCTATGGGCTGAAGCTATCAACACTGTAACTTACCTGATCAATCGTGGGCCCTCACTTCCCTTGAATACCAGAGGAAGTTTGGAGCAGAAAAGAAATAAACCTTTCACACTTAAAAGTGTTTGGTTGTATTTCTTATGTACACATAAATTCTGCTGAAAGAAGTAAACTTGATGTTAAGTCCAACAAATGTGTCTTTGTTGGTTATGGTGGTGATGAGTTTGGTTACCGTTTTTGGGATTATGAAAATCGAAAGATCATCAGAAGCAGAGATGTCATTTTCAATGAGAATGTGATGCACAAAGTCAGGTCAGTCATAGAATTAAGTAGCTCCAATACCAAAGCTGAAACAAAGGAATTTGTTGAGTTTGAAGAGATTTCTGGAAATGATGTTCAAATCAGCCCTGAAGCAGTTCAAGAAGAACCAGACACACCAGAGTTGAGACTCTCCTCTAGAATTCCTAAACCAACCCAGCGTTATTCGTCTTCTTTGCACTACTTGTTGCTGACTGACAATGGTGAACCAGAGTGCTATAATGAAACAATGCAGGTGGAGGATTTAGTCAAGTGGGAGTCTTCCATGAAAGATGAGATGGACTCGCTTATGTCAACAAAGGCAGTGACTACGGACAAACCGAAGTTATGTTCTGCTTCAGTTGGCATGTTAGAGTAACAATACTAGAAATGTTGCTGCATTGATTGAGGTGTGAAGACAGATTAAAATTAATCTTCAAGTAGGAGATTATTGAAAAGCCAATAATTTGCAGCTTTCAATGATCATATTTTGCTGTAGCCACCGTGAATTTGGTGGTTAAAAGTTGACAGCTGAAATGGTGGAAAATTGGTAAGGGAAAATTACCAAATTAAGTCCATGTACTTTAGGGTATTTACAAGATTAGTCCTTAAGCTTCAACTATAAATAGCCTAACACATTTAGCTTCAAAATTATCCCAAATCATTTCTTTCTCCCAATACTAAAGAGTTTAGAGAGTTTTCTTGTGAGTTGCGAGTGTTTTGTAAATACCTGTAAATTTTCTCTCTTAGTAAAAGATTTGTTGTAGTCTGGAGACGTGACATAATTGGCCAAACTCCGTTATCAATTTCTGGTATTATTTTTCCGTTTTATTTTTGCATTCTCACTAATCTGGTTATTGGAAAATTACTCGTTTAATTTCTCAACACATGTGGCCATCTATGATCCTAAAAGGACTAGCAACTCACAACACAAAAAATCAATACAGCAAAACCAAATGGCACAACATTATTGGATATCTGTTGATATATATGTAATAGATCCAGCACTCGCGAGAGAGAAATAAAACAATTTATTCTACTAAGTGGATTCTTTACATATAAAAGAAATGAATTTTTGAATAAGCTTGCCAAGTCATGCCTCAAATTGCTAATAATTTAAAATCCATCAGTAAAACATGGAAAACAAGAATCAGAAATAATTAAATAAAATAAGCTACCAAGTAAAAAAAAATTGAGAGAAAGTCCAGTATTGTTTATAATAAAAGAGAATTCAGACACAATGAAAAGAAATCTCGAACGTAAACTGTGTCAGTTCATTGGAAACAGATGGAATGTTAGAACAAACGGAAAATCTTTTATTGGGCACTCTGTTCTCGCTGACATTAAATGATGCTGACTTTATGGGTTAAAAACAACTATGCTTAACCTAGGTCTGGATCTTTTATCTTAGTTATATATAGGATACACTTAACAAAGAATTTGATCGATACATTGAATAAATTCTGAAATAGGAAAGCAACACTAAATAAGCTCATACCTGCTCCTCTTCTTTGGCCATATGCTGACTAATTGAGGTTCGAATGGCCCCTGTACGAGAAGCTAACTCCTTTGGAAAACTCTCATCATCTTCCATATAAGAATTTAAAAGCTCAAACAGATGATCGAAAAGATTACTCTCTCCCTTGTGTTCAAGGGAGTAGGTTTTTGCCACATTTTTCACACGCATATCTAGGGCTGGAAAAATAACCTGCATTTCAAGTCATGATGTTGTCAAAAATTCAGGTACAGTAGAAAGAATAAGGTTTGGTAACAAAGATATGCAACTGCCAGGAATCAAAATTGAAATCTTAGAAAATCAGCGGACGATCGATTGTATCAAGCAATTGTGTTCACGCATATTGCCTGATAACATCTGGAGAGCATCTTGCTACTTCTCTCAAAAACAAAAAAAGCAAGCAGGGGTAGCCAGAACTTTCAGTTTCAACATTTTTTACCCACGTTATTAAAATCTAAACCAAAACAACATATATATATATATATGTTGCATCATTTCATAGACGAGTTAAAAAGTATTCTACTAAGGTTTTTCCCCCATTAATTTGTCTACAAGTACGCTCTTCTGAATAGAAGCAGAAGCACTTGTTATGAAGTAACGGAAACATACATTAAAATTAGAACTTAAAAAACATGAAAATTCCATAAGAAAACTGACTTTGCATAAACAACCTCCAACAGACAGTCAAAATGCATAAAAAAAACCTAGCTGATATAAATCGAAATATAATCTTTTCCTTTTTCATTTCAAAAAAAGACTGAAATGCCATGCCATCAATGCACTCCAATTCTAAGCAAAGGAAAAAAAATATTTATAATTAAAATGATCAATTCCTTCGTAATTTCCACTAACCAAGCAAAGAAAAAAAAATTAACTCAAGAGATACTGAAATTAAGAGCTTAAAATAAAACTGTATATAAACAGGCAGTCAACCACATGCATACTTAGGCGTATAGAGACTTAAATTCGAAGAATTGGAACCACTATTCATAATAAAAGAAAATTTAATTGTTCAAAATTTTTAAAACTCTCAGCGAAAAAAACATAGCATTCGAAAATTGTAAAAAAAATAAAGCGAAAAAAAGGTACCTCATCTTCGGCAACAGAGTGTTGCTTATAAATCGATCTGAAGAAACCGTACCGCTTAAACAGCGATTGAATATCGACACTGTTTCCAGTAGCAAACGCCAAAGCCAATTGGTGAAGCGCATCCAGCTCATTCCGCACCGCCTTATGGAACAACAAGAATATCATAATCGGAGACTTCTCTTCACTCTCCTCAGAAAAGCCCCCGAACGGCGTACTCGGTTTCATCGTGCTCGTAGAAACCACCACCGCCTCCTCCCTACGCTGCAATTCCGGTAAAGGAATCGCCATTTCAAAACAGCCGGCTCCTTTGACTTTTCCCGTTTCTTCTCCGTTAAACTAAAATTCTCGTCGCTTTCAATTCCCTTCTTTGTATTTATATTTGTCCTGTTTGTATAATATATAGTATCGGTTTTGTTTTGTTTGGTACTTTGGTTGAGATTTTCAACGGCAGATGGAGGGAAGGAAGGCTCGAGGCAGGCTGTTACATGTTTGAGACCGGGGTGTGATAAGAATGTGGAGGGAATGTGGGGGACTTTATACCCTCGTTGTTGCCGCGTGGCGTTAATATCCACGCTGGACGCTTGTATAAGTCTTTCCTGGGTCACGTGAGTTTTCCACGTGGAATGATATGAGAGGCCAATGTTTAAGCCTAGAGGATTCTTTATTTTTATTTTTAGAAAATATAAGAAAGGTTTTATCTTCTTGTTATGACACCACCTAAGGATAAGGTGATTGAAAATGATAAAAGAAAAAGTAATTCCAATATATAAATGTGTGTTTTTGGTTACACGAGGGTCGTTCTCTCTTTAAATCCTTACCATTTTATTTCTAGGCTTAATGGGAAAAAATTAAACTATAAAGTAATTTTAGGTGATTATATTTTTTTTATTAAAATTATTTGTTTAAATATTTTCTCCATTACACTTTTAAGTGTATAACGTTTTATCTGTAACATTTTTAAGCGTCTATATAAAACGATCATTAAAAAAATTCGTTAATTAATACATGAAATGTTTATATTTTGACTTAATGCAAAAATAAGTACCTAAACTACACCTTAAGTTAATTTTTGGTATCTAAAGAATATATGTCTAGGCTATAACAATATCTGAAACATGTCACGTTTAAGAAAAAAATTTCTCCCTCCCGCACGCACAAAAATTTCCCTCGAAATCTCCAGCGTCCCCATAAATCCCTGAAGTTAACTTAAAGTGAGAATGATAAATTTAAGATTAGAGTTAGAGATTTGGGTAGTATATTTAGGGATTTAAGTTTGGATTTATGGAGGATTGGGATGATAATAAGAGAGATGTTCAATAGTGGAGGTCCGACGACAGGTGAGTGGTCGTTTGAAAATACCGAAGATGATAGGTGATTGCCGACAATAACTAATAATGAGATTAAAATGAGATATTTTTAGGTTGCAAGTTTTTAAAAAAAAATAATTTTAGAAAATTTTGTTTTTAAAATTAATAATATTATTAAGTTATTTTCAAAAAAAATAAAAAAATATAAACATGACACACATCACTTAACAAATTTTTAACGATCGTTACTACGTAGAAACATAAAAGTATAACGTTGGAAACATTATCCACTCATTTTTTAATGAAAAATTATTTAGGCACCTAAAGTTAACTTAGGGTATAGTTTAAATACTTATTTTTGAATTAAACCAAAATATAAATATAACATATGTCACTTAACAAGTTTTTTTAATGACTGTTACTGTGTAGGTACCTAAAAATATAACAGAGAAAATGTTAGACGCCTAAAAATGTAATGAAAAAAATATTAGATACCTATTTTAACGAAAAATTCTTTATACAACACCTAAAGTTAACTTAAGATAAGGTTTGGATACTTGTTTTTGTATTAAGCCTTATTTTATTGTTTTCTATTAAAACATTTTTAAATTTTTAAAGGTGATATATTGATGATAAAAAACTATGAATGAAATTTACTATTAATATTTTAAAGATCAAACTTTGTTGATGTAATGTTCTCATCGTTTTATATATTTTGGTACAGTAAAATGAAAAATAAACAAAATATAAAATTTATTTTATATTTGTGTTTAATATTTTTAAGGTAAAAACACAAATGATCTAATGATTATAGAAATTTTGTTTTATTGAGTCCTTCGACTATTAAAAATTATAAGATGGTCCCTCAACTATAGGATGTTCATTTGTTGAGTCCCTAACTATTAAAAGTTACAAAATGATTATTCGACTATTCATATGTTTCAAACTCGTCATTTTTCGTTAAAAAATTTGTGACCGTCTTAACTAGATATTAACCTCCTTACCAAGATATGATAAAATTATATCCCAAAACTATTTGAGTTGTATTTTGTGAATAGAAACTGTGTTTACATTATGACGTTGAGCTAGTGCTTCAAATATTTTGTTATTGAGCTAGTACTTGAAAGCAATGGTAGTGTCAGTATATATATTATTAAAATATGATTTTATCATATACAATCAACATATTAACGTCAAACTCAAACAACCATAAAATTTTAACGGAAAATGACGAGTTTGAAACATATGAATATTCTAGTGATAATGTTGTAACTTTTAATAGATGAGGGACTTAACAAAATAGTATCTTATAATCAAGGGTGATTTTATAATTTTTAATAATTATGAGACTCAACAAAACAATACCATATAATCGATGAACCATTTTGTGTAATTTATCATATTTTTTATATACGTAGTCGTCTTGTTACGTTTATATTGGCACTAGCCACCATGACCCAGTCAATAACAGGTACACACCCATGTGTACGAGACTTTTAAAATCTAAATATGGCTTGCTTTGACCATATGTTGGATTTTATTTCTCCAAATATCAACTAATTCTAATTCAAGCTTCCACCGAAAATTTTGAACTGAAACCTATATTTTTTTTTAGAGAAAATAACTTCAATGACTGAAAATATCTTATAATATATGATTTTAATCATTTTTTTTTGAATTTGTAAAAATAATCAATAAATTCGTAACGCGAACTCTTATTTCACAACACAGTTTTTAAATTCGCAACTCGAACATGAAAATTTTTACAACGCTAATTACTGATATAGGTAAACACAATTATTTGCAACGCAAATTTCGCAAATCGAATTCGCTAATTTCGTAACTCAATTATCGATATAGGTAAACAATGTAGAAAAAATCTGGTCAAAAATCCGAATTCGCTAATTTGAAAACTGAGTTGCGAATTTGGTAAATTCGTGTTGCGAAATGTAAAATCTCACCTCTTAAAGAAAAACTCATTTCGACAGTTCGTTTGTTTGGTTAAAGTTAAACGAACGAACGAACATGAACATATATTCGTTCGTGTTTGTTCAATTCATTTACAGGTATAGGTTTAGTTGAGTGATTCACAACGCGAATTTTGTTTTCGTAACGCGAATTACCGATATAGGTAAACATAATTATTCGCAACGCGAATTTCGCAAATCGAATTCGTCAATTTCGCAAATCATTTATCGATATAGATAAACACGTTAAAAAAAATCCGGTCAAAAATCCGAGTTCGCCAATTTGAAAACTGAGTTGCGAATAGTTGTGTTTACTTATATTGGTAATTAACGTTGCGGAATTTTTTATGTTCGAGTTGCGAATTTAGAAACTGTGTTACAAAATAGGAGTTCGCGTTACGAATTTGTTGATTATTTTTACAAATCCAAAAAAAATTAATTAAAATCATATATTATAAATAATTTTCGATAACTGAAATTATTTTCTCTTTTTTTAATACTATTCGTAAGTATGCGGCAAATGCATATTTATATTTTGTAATCCAAATTTGAGTAAGAAATATAAAATTGCATATATTATATAAACACCTACAATAATTGAAAACAATAAAATTATTATTGTTTAATATGATAAACAGACTGGACATGATAACCCATATGTATTTTATATTAATATGATATTAATTATATTATATAAGAGGATAGTTTAATACCATTATATTATAGGGTAAATTACAAAAATGGTCCCCCGACTATATGATATTACTTTGTTGAGTCCCCTGACTATTAAAAGTTATAAAATGATCACTCGACTAATCTATGTTATAAACTCGTCATTTTCTGTTTGGTAGTCGTCTAAGCTAGACGTTAATCTACTACATGGGATATGATAAAATCCAATCTCAAAACCGTTTCAACTGTATAGTCATTTGAGATTTTGAGATCATATTTTATCATATCCAATCAATAGGTTAATATCCAACTCAGAATTTCGTCAAATTTTTAATAGAAAATGACGAGTTTGGAATATATGAATAGTCAGATGATCATTTTATAACTTTTAATAGTTAAGGGACTCAACAAAGTAACACCATATAATTAAAGGATCATTTTATAATTTTTAATAGTTAATAGACTCAACAAAACAATGTTCTATAGTTGAGGAACCATTTGTGTATTTTATCCTATTTTATATTACATTTGATCTATATGTGTTCAGCAAATCCATTGCTAGAACAAAAGTAGGCAAGTGCTGGCATGTTGTATAGCTGAATATTTGAATAAAGAAGAAAAGTGTAAAGTTTTTTTAAATGATTTGTTTGGGAGGACCAAAACTCTTGGAGAAAGATAATGTGTCCACCTTTTGTACATATAATAATTAATTAGATAATACTAGCATTCATTAGGAGGAGGAGAAAAAAAATTGCGATGGATATGGATTGGGTTGAGTCGGCTTTTAGTCGATCCGTTTTGAACTGAAAATTTTATATCATTCACTTGAAATTTGATTTGATTTGGGTTTAGGGTAATTTTATCTGACTCGAAATCTGACTAAACTTTTGAGATAAAACCCGACTTCGACATAAAATAATATAAAATAATTGATTTTATTCAATAAAAATAGGGACTTAATTGAAAAAATATAAAGAGGGGGTATTATTGTAATTATCTCTAAATATATAAGTAGGGATGAACACATGACCTGAACTTGACAAGTTCCAACCCGACCTTATTGGGTCATTTTTTTAATTCGAGTTTGAGTTTAGGATAAAAATACCTGACTCAAAAATAATATAATTATACCTTATATATTGAGATATAATTACAATAATACCCCTCTTTATATTATTTTTTCAATTAAGTCTCTATTTTATTAAATGAAATTAATAATTTTATATTGTTTTGGGTCGGGTCGGGTCGGGTCGGAGAGAAGTCATATTTTATCTCAAAAGTCAGGTTGGGTTTTGATTTGGGTGAAGTTACTCTAAATTCGGGTCGGATTGAATCGGATTTTAATCAATCTGACCCGACCCATGCACATCCTTGTATATAAGGTATAATTTATATTATTACTCCGGTCAGATTAGGTCGGGTGTTTTCTATCCTAAATCCGACCATAACCCGAATTTATCCTATAAAAATTTCAATCTAAACCTATTTTCTTTTAAAAAGCTGGCCCAATAGGATCGATCCGTCGGAACCTGACAGATTCAGGTCCCGTATGTATCCCTATAAAAATCCCTTCCACTCAAGGACGATAAGATGTTATAGGTGGGAGAGGCAATGACCACCAACTTTGATGATGGTATAGTTACCTTTGAAACTATTACAATTAAACCTTTGTCCCTCTCATCATTTTATGGTATAATTCTTTTTTAAGACACTGAGTTTTAAAATTAAAGAAATTAAACTTTGATCTTAAATTTATCTTGTTTAATTACCTTTTAAGAGCATTAAATTTTAAAATTTATGAAATTAAAATCCTAATCTCTTAATTTTTATGATTTAATTACTTTTTAGACCCTATTTATTTCAAAGTTAAATAACTTATCCCTCGTAATTCAATATTGACTTCATCCTTGCTTCCACTATCATTAATCTTTTGGTATTTTATTAGATTTACATTTCGACGTATTCATCTTCAAATGTACTTAAATTAAAATTCACCATGAAAAGAGTAGTGGATGAAAGGAGGGTTGGCATTAAGAGAGCAGGGCAAAATAAATTGGTGTGTGGCATTCATTGTATGGTCATGTTCTTGCACTAATAGAGACTAGACCTATCCTACTTCCTACTTCTTTGGTTCCCTTCAGTGTTCTACATTAAAATTTAAATCAAGTCAAAATCAAATGAAAATTTATAAATTTGAAGATAGATTGAGACAACCACAAAAAATAAAAATTGATATCGGTCCCCTCCCTGTTGTTAATGCTCACGTAACTTTGTTCAGAAGGAGCTTAATTTCCACCATACAAATCCAGATGAAATTACTTGTGACACCCTCAATAGTCATTCCCTTTAGGCTGACTTTTAACTGTTTAAAAAGGACATTCAAAGTCCACACAAGATGGGCAAGGAATACCTGGGGCTATTAAAGGCAGACATCAAGTGCTCTGTGCCGACAACCCAACATCTTATACTTTCACATATTCACACACGATGGAGAGAGAAGGGAAGAGCTCGTCTATAACTTGGGCTTTGATTCAGACACCCCCAGAAAACGATGATTTTACGGTGGCAGTGAGCAGCAGCTGCAGAGACAACGGTAATGGAGTAATATTGGATGAAGTGAAGAAACAAGTATGGCTAGCAGGTCCTTTAATAGGGGTCAGCCTGTTCCAGTACTGTATACAGATGATATCAGTGATGCTGGTTGGACATCTCGGCGAGCTACCTCTCTCTGCTGCCTCTATGGCTACTTCCTTTGCATCTGTTACTGGTTTCAGCTTGCTGGTAACTGTTGTTTTTTAAAGTTTTAGATAACCCTTTCTTCACTTCTGGTTGTTGCTGCTGCTGTTTTCTTTGAGATGATGAAAGAACATTGTGTTGTGTGCATGGTCTGAACTGTGAACGTCTACGTCAATGTATGTCTTTATGCGTACATTCTGTCTATGGTCGTGTTTTGACGATAAGTTTTCAAATTTGGCCACGTTTATAAAAATATTTTTTTTCATTAAAAATCTTTTAATATCTAGTAGCTCCAATCAGTAAAACTTGTGTACATTCATGAATATGCATTGTTCATTTTGTCTTGTTTCGGCCGAAAGCTTAGTTCATGCTCTTTAATTTTTTTTACCCATATCTTCCCTTTTATGATTGGGCTTTTGTCGAATTTTATATTAATACTACTACTACGTGTATATAAAAATATAATTAGAACATATGACTCAAAGGATACCTAAACAAATTCTTCTTTCCCCAATGTATTTGTTTATATTGTCCAATCCCGGATTAAGATGTTGTTTTGCATAGCTGGGTATGTCAACTGCTCTGGATACCCTTTGTGGACAGTCATACGGGGCAAAACAATATTGGATGATGGGAATCCACATGCAAAGAGCAATGGTTATTATGGTAATGGTCAGCATACCCCTTTCCATTATATGGATAAACACTGGACCCATCCTACTTTTTCTAGGCCAAGATCACGACATATCCATGGCGGCCGGAGAGTATGCTGGTTTCATGGTCCCCAGTGTATTTGCATACGGTCTCCTTCAGTGTCTGGTCAAGTTCTTGCAGACTCAAAACATCGTGTTCCCGATGATGATATGCTCTGGGATCACAACTTTGTTTCACATCCTTATCTGTTGGGTCATGGTTTTCAAATCTGACCTTGGGTTTAGAGGAGCTGCATTGGCAGCCTCAGTCTCCAACTGGATCAATGTATTGTTGTTGTTTTTTTATGTTAAGCTGTCTCCTTCTTGTGCCAAGACTTGGTCAGGGTTTTCAAGGGAGGCCTTTCTCAATATTTTCACTTTTCTTCGCCTTGCTATTCCTTCTGCTACTATGGTCTGGTAAATACCTCTCTCCATTCTTCATTATCTCTTTTAAAGCCCGTACTAAGTATTAATGTATATTGAGTCGGAGTTCAATTGACCTTAAGCAAGACCTTTGCTCATAATTTTTAAGTTTTGTTTGGCATGACTGTGAACAGCTTAGAGATGTGGTCATTTGAGATGATGGTTCTGCTATCAGGTCTTCTTCCTAACCCACAGTTAGAAACTTCGGTGCTCTCTATTTGGTTATGTTTTTTAACATCAAAATAGCTATTTTCAACCAACAGTTTTGTTGGAGCATTTAAAATGATTCTTAACAATGCAAATTGCCAAACTTGATGAACATTTCCTTTTCTAGCCTTAACACTGCTTCCACGGTTTGGATGATACCCTTTGGACTGAGTGGTGCAGTAAGGTGAGTGATGCTAAGAAGAGATTTCCTTGTTTTTCAAACACTGTACTTAGCGAGTTCCAACAATTTTTGTACAGCACTCGGGTCTCAAATGAACTAGGAGCAGGGAATCCGGAAGCAGCTCGTTTAGCTGTAAATGTGGTTGTATTCATGGCCATATTTGAGGGGATTTTGGTGGGATCTGTCTTGATATTGATTCGAAACGTTTGGGGCCATGCTTATAGCAATGAAGCACAAGTGGTTGAATATGTAGCAGCCATGTTGCCAATAGTAGCCACTTCCAACTTTCTAGATTCGCTTCAGTGTGTTCTCTCAGGTTTTATATACATCCACCCCCCCCCCATCATGTCAGATGGCTGCACTTAAAAGATATGACGTCCATAGATTTGGATTGCAAATTTCAGGCAATGCTAGAGGATGTGGATGGCAGAAGATTGGAGCATTTATCAATCTGGGATCTTATTATATAGTTGGGATTCCATGTGCAATTCTGTTCGCTTTTGTACTCCATGTTGGTGGAAAGGTAAGACCCAGATCTTTTCTTTGATTGTGACCCAATGCTACATTTAATTGGCAATTTATATAATCAGGGGCTATGGCTGGGAATCATATGTGCACTTGCTGTTCAAGTAACTTGTCTTGGCATCGTTACCATTCGAACAAACTGGGAGCAAGAGGTAAAGATGTTCCATCTCTGTAAATATAATATAGCCATCCCTAGTGATTTTCTCATAATTCTTGCACATTGTTTTCTTAGGCCAAAAAAGCTACGGAGAGAGTACACGATTATGCAATTCCGGCCCAAGTAGAGTCATGAAGTTCCAATTCTACACATGCCATTTGACTTGATACATAGTGGTGTTTTATTATTGAAAACATGATGTATAATATAAGCCTTCATTAATAATGTATGAACCGTTCTAAATCAAACAAATTTTCAGAAGCACGTCCTCGAAATAAGTAGCAAGGCCAATTGAATCCAAAGCAACAAGGAGAGGACAGTCTACGAATAAACTTTGATATTACTAATATAAACACCACCAGCCACTCGAATAGACAATCGGCTCATAGACATTTTTATACCGTACCGCACTGTACTTTTGCCATCTGTGAGCCTTCAATCCCGCGAACCTCCATACTTGTGAACATACGACTCGTGCGAACCTCCAAGGACGTGAATATAAGTCATACGAACTCTCAACGACGACCACATGTCACCTATTGCCCGTGAACATCTCCCACGTATGATCTCCAACGACCACATATTGATACATATGGTCTTTTTTGATGACCAAGTCTAAACCATCACATCCTAAGACGTCCCATCAACACCAACGCCACGACATCTTCTAGTCGACGCTTGTCCAGGATACTATAAATAATCATGCAACATAAAGCAAAGACACTTAAATACTTCGACTCAGAAAGACCAGACCCACACAATCAGGAAAACCCTTCAACCACCACACAATCAGGAAAACCCTTCAACCACCATCTACGGTTGTCTAATTCACCGGTCAACAATACTATACGGCCATCTCGTATCAAATGCATAGATGAAAATGTGTATATATATTTCCATTTTGCATAATCTCGTTTGAATCTATACAATTGATTTCATTAACATTATTAATTTTTTTACGATAATTCTATAAAATAAGTCAAAGATTATCTAATTTTATCATATAAAAATATTGTATTTAATAGTATTATTTAATGTATGAAGCATGTCAAAGAATAGAATATCAAAAAGTAGAAAACTTTGAGCAGTCCATTTAACTTTAAAATGCAATGCAGGAGATACAGAAAGCACGAGAATTCAGTACAACAAGCACTCACTATAATTTAACATGCGCAAACTGGATAACAAAGGAATCAAGTATGCGACCCTGTCACGATATCATTTAAATGCAAAACCCCGTGATGCGACAACATCTTGTTTGCATGGTGGACCAATGCCCACAGTCTAAGCAGCAAAAGGGTCTGGAGATCGAAAACTTGCTTGCAGATGCAACACACTAGAAAGGCTGTTCATATCACAAAATCACCCAACTCCTACTTCTAGATCACAGTTTGCATACCTGATGCTGATCAAACTCACCAAAAGAAATCTCAGAATACATCACATTAACCAACAGTCAACGTCCAATCAAGGCATCTCTCCATTCCCCCTTCATCATTGGGGGGTCAATTTCCACACTCGAACACATGCATCCTCACCAGAGCTCACTACACTGTATTCGTCAGTAAAGACTAATCCATAAACTCCGCCTAAATGAGCTCCCTTTATGGTCATACGACTGGATGCAGGCTTGTCAACCTCGTAAATTATTACACATGTGTCGAGTGATCCAGTAGCAACCATACTGCTATTGAGAGACCAAGCAAGACAGTTTATCCGAGCAGTGTGGTACAACATGTTTTTGAGCTTTACCTGCTCAAGAGTATTTGTGAAAAATAAGTCAGATGTTTTTTACGTGTTCTACAGCTCAAATGCTAAAGAGAGCAATTCAAAAGAGTGGTAGTTAACAACGTCAAGCATTATAGACGACAAAACATACAGTACTCAAGAGAAGAAAAGAAGAAGAGAAAATGGACTGAAATCACATATCATGAACCACCCATTTCCCTTTGTCATATATGTCTGTTCCACCACTGTTAAGTTTGATAAAGAAACCAAATTGCCCAAAATTTCCCATGAAACTAAAAAACTCTTATCAATATCCCGAACTGAGCTAATTTATGTCCAGATCAATGTTTAATTCTAAATCAACGGCCAGTCACTAACATTCCCTCATAAAATACATAGGAAGGTCATTGTAAGGTTCAGTCTGCTTAAGTTATCTGGAACAAGGGAACATACATGCTAGAAAGCCCATGACATAATGTTAAACGATATTCATTAGTGCAAAATAAAAGACAAACTTACATCATGTAGGCACTGCAGTAACCGTGTTCATGTCTCTCTCTCCACTTTTTGGAGTGTATAAGAATAAATATACAATGATAAAGAAACAGAAAGAGACAGGCAGCTAATAGCATGTTGCACATTTGCCACATTTACTGTAAAAATCATATGGCATTCAAACGCTAAAAGAACATACAAATATTGAAATGCTAATGAAAATACCTCTCGACAGACACGGTCCCAGACTATAGCTTCTCGATTTGCATCTCCAGATGCAAACATTGAGAAATCTGGTGAGTAACGAATGACAGTAATTGCACCTCGGTGTTTCTCAAGCACTGCCTCTTGCTTAAGGGTATCACCCGTGATACAAAATATATGCAATTTTCCATCCTGCCCGCCAACAATAGCTTCACTTCCATCTGGTGCAACCACTGATGCTGTCACAGCAAAACCAAGGTTAATGGTTGATGCCACTTTTGTACCACGCAACATAACAACTCCTGAGTCAGTTGTAACCAAAGCAAGTTCAGGAGAGAGAAAGGCAAGGCTCAAGTCCTTTGGTTGACTGCCAATATCAATTGAATCTCCATCCCCAAACTGATCCCCATGAAAAGAAATTCTCCATATCTGGAATAGAAGTACCATTAAAAGGAAAATATAAGAAACAATAGAACCTACACATCCAAGAGAAAAAGATAATGATGAGGTGTGGAGTATGATACATAAATATTTTACTAAACAGAAATCAGATCCCATATTCATGGACACGAGGAAAAGAGAAAAAAGAAAATGACTGTTAACGTTATACAATTACTAGAAGCTATACCTGCTGCTTATTTTACACTAAAATTCTGTAACATAAAAAGATATTTCCTCTATTACAAGTTTAGCGCTTAACTTTATCCTTCTGCACCTCATAGGTTCAATTATGATTTTCCTTCTGGCATAACTTGAGATATTATACCCAAATAATTATCACCTAAAAGTTTCGGGTCAATTTTAAACCATGATCTTCACATCGTAATTCGTAAATGGATATTCTACTCTTTTTTTTGTAACATACTAATGTCAAATATAAATACGACGTTTAAAAGAAGATACTTATGTGAGGATGTGACCTTTTCCATATAGTCTATAGTAAAGCTTACATTCGTGTTGAACATGTACCTATATCTGAGTGGTACATTCTGTTAATAAGTAAGATGATGCATGACAAACCTACTGCTTCAAAACCTAATGTGAAACTATAAGTCAATGCCACATAAGAAGCATGTTTTCATCCACCTCCAATAAGAAAAAAAGAAGAACATCTTAAATGAACGTTTCATCAGACTAGAAATAAAAAAATGAGTACCTTATTGTCAAATCCAGAAGTAACAATCTCTTCTTCAGAAGCAGCAAAACATTTAATCTGAGAATTCTCTTTCCTCTGTAATTTACCACTATATCCTAAACCTTGAACCCATTTAACTATTAGCCCATCATAACTACTAGACAGTATATATTTTGGGTCACTTTTTAGGGAAGCTAATGAAATGATATTCTTCATGTGTCCGGATAATTGAAGTGGGGACTTTTCAAGATTACTAGCGGAAAACAAAGTAATTGTGCCACCTAGAGAGACAGTTACAAGATGATCATTCTGCCAAAGACATCCAACAAGCATGTCATCAACTCCACCTGAGCCAGAACATGTCAACGTTTTCTTCAACTTCCCGTTACCATCCTCAGAGATATCCCATACTTTTGCTGTCTTATCAGCAGATACTGTCAGCACCTGAAAAAATATTAATAAATCTTAAAAAGCATATACACATAGTATGGTAAGTAGTTAAATTGCACTAAAGGAGGGGACATAATGAAAGAAAACACTGATCTATTTAACTATCTTGTAAAGATTGTTTCATACTTCAAAGTTAAAACCATGCCTTTTCTAAGCAAATACATCGTGCATCTAGGAAAAATAATAACTACACATCAGATGAACAAAACATAGACGAAAAGAAAAGGTAAACCTATTTTAGGGATTTCAACTTGATAATACAGTTTTGGTGCCTGCTTATTCTTTATGTTCCACGACAACAATAATCACAAATATCAGATTGCATTTTGGAATAATGGAATAGGTGTATATAACATATACACTGGAATTTCAATTTCCAAGCAATAAAAGTTGTCAGATGCTCACCTGTTTACCATCAGGACTCCAGCTGACAGCATAAATGCTACCTTTGTGGGGATCTTCAGACGACAACTCTCCAGTCTTCTCACCACTTTTTCCTTCAAATATAATACCTTTTTTATCAGAGCTTACAGTGATGAATTTGTTTCCATCTGGAGAAAATCTTACACAATTTACAAAATTGGAATGATCTCTGCAAATAAAAATTGAAGCGTTTCAGCCTATGAATTAATACCAGAAATGAAAAACATACTAAAGATTGCATTGTCATAACCTCCAAATATCGAAGAGACTAGATTTTTTTCTTGAAAGTCAGGTTATTTGATGTCTCCAAACATGGAGCAAAATATGAGTCGAGTGTGCATGTCTCTGAGCATGCACACATGCTTGTGTATGTGTGCACGTCTCCAAACTAAGTTTCTTAGTAAGTCCAAAAAAAAGTCCGTTTTTTATTATATCTGTAACTAGAAGTAAAAGAGATCTTATCAGCCAAACGTGTTAAAGGAAACAGATTTGTTATACCAAACCTGTGAGATTGCTTGAATTTAAAGGGTGGGCCTTCGTAGAAATTCACCAAAAAGTCCTCTCCACAAGTCACAATGCGGAATGGTCTTGTTGGCTTAAAAGCACAACTCATAACTCGTCTTGAATGACCATCAAACTCACCCACATTAGTACCTGAATCCCACCTATGCAAGATAATGCTCATCAAATATTAATAATAACAACATGAGAACTTGTACTGGATAAAGAACACCATTAAGTTTCTTTCTTTTCTTTCATAATATATCCAAAATCAAAGGTCAATCATGAATAACGCATCCGAGCATCCATGCAACTCTAACATTAAAAGTCAGGATCCTTTGCTACTTTTGTTTCCATACCATGTGTTAAGCACTCCTATTTTCAAACATGTTTGAGTAGGTAAATGCAATCAATTTGAGTTGAAGAAGCAAATGGCTGTGGAAATTATGGTAAGCACCATGTCTGACATATACTTTAGCAATTTGGGATTTATGTGTGATGCGTCATTTGAGCATTAGATTTGATACAATTCTTATTTCACCAAAACTAAGCTTGAACCTTTTTAGTATTAAAAAATAAATGCAACCTTGATTACTGCAAGTATTTGATACAAAGAAATCCTAGGACAGCATCATATTGTTCATTGAAAATTCATAAAACAAACCCTCTTCACCTTGAAATGAATCTATATAACATAAATTCAAATAAAAATGCCAGCTTCTTTGTCAGCTACATAAGACCTCCACTTACAGTATACCAAAATTGAACTAAAAAACAACTAATAAAGGAAGGGAAAGGAAAACTCACATAAAAGCGCGAACGAGAGACTTCCCTTTGCCATCACCGGAGGCGACGATCCGCAACCCATCAGGAGACCATTGGAGATCATCAATCCGACCCGACAGAACCTTGAACTCTTTCTTCAAGACGTGATCGTTGTGGGCCCCCCAGATCCTAACGGTGCCGTACACGTCAGCCGAGGCGATCCACTCCCCGTTCGGCGAGAACCGTGCCACCGTGGCCGGGTACGCATGCTCCCCGTAAACGGAGACGTTGAGTGGATTGTTAAGGTCGAGAATGATGACGGATCGCCCATTCGTGTAAAGAACCTTGTTGGATTTCGGGTCACCCGAGATCAGGATTCCACGGCCCCGCTCTGTTGAGGGCACGCAAGCGTAAGTTTCCGCGAGCTCAGGCATTGGGTTTTGATTTGATTGGGGGAAAAAAGGATAACTGAAAGGGAAAGCTAAGGGTGTGGAATTTAATTGAGGATCAAAGGAAGGGAAGAATAATGAGGATTCTTTATTATTAATAATTTTATATAGTAATTATATTTGCACGTAGTTATAAAATAACAGTATCAGATAAGCTGTACAGCTCAAAAGAGTTAAATTTCAGGTATCATAATTAGACTTGTGCTGGGCTCTCTCAAACCTGCAGAAAAGACCAACTCTAGACTTAGAAATTTAAATTAGTAAACTGAAAACTTCCGATTTCAATCTCGAATTCTATCCTCGTGAACCTCGGAAGGATGTTCCGATTAAGTCATCGAAATCGCAACATTATCACAGTGCTAGCCTTAACCATTACAGCAGGGATGAATTCTCCTGCTTCGAGACTTATGTATGAACACTGGACAACACAACTGGGCTCAATTTCTTCATAAATCAATCCGAATACGAGTTATAGCACATTTTTTACTGGAAATTACGCCAAAAGCGCAACAGTGATTCAAATAAAAATAGTATACAGAGTTTTCTTTTTCTTTAAAATCAAAATTCTTACTACCTTACTAGACATTTCTGAAGCTCACAAAAGAACAAATACATCTCTTGCTTTCTTCAAATGTAAATAGAGCAACATCACAGGTGAAGCCTTATCTGAACTGTGAACGTTGTCATAATCCTACTGTTAGCTTCTTTCCGAAGAGGGGGGAAAAGAAAATGGTTTGGAGCAAATCACTGTGAATTAGCCTTGGGGCAAAAACAGGTAACACACCAAGCCAACTACATCCCTCAAAAGCGGTTTGATCAAACATTAAGAGTTGCAACCTTCTCAGACAAGCCAGTAACTGTCTCATCAGTGATTTCATCAGCATTAACCTGCAGCACGGAAAATAAATAAGAGAGCTACTACATAACATCCATTTTGTTCTAGCTTGAATAATGGCTTGTCAGTTGGCTGTTGGAGAGTTAACGTTAATGGTTTTGTTTTTATGCCAAGTTGGTTTTAGTTTGTCAGACAGGTTTTAGTGAAGAGATGTCAACCTCGGCGTCATCTTTTTCTTTCACAACAACGCACTTGGAGGCACTGATGCTAGCACTTTTCAATAGGAGGCTACGAGCACTAGAGTTTTCTGAACCATCTTGTGATATTGAAGCTGCATTATTCTCACTGCCATCTTGATGATCATTCTTGTCCTTGGGTTCAGGAACTCGCTCTCTGAAAAGAAGATATCAAAGTTATTCAAGCAAATTGAAATATGACACATGAACTAGACAAACTATATGTATGTTCCACCATCTAAAGTATGACAGGATCTACCCTGGTTTTACAGTTTGGGGGGGGGGGGAATTACATCAGCGACATGATCCCTAAAACTTACGAAGCATACCTAGGCAAAGAAGCATGATGTCTTAGAAGTGGAGTACTTCTTTCACCTTTACCATAATGTTCCTCCAAATGTGCAAATTGTCGTTTGAATCGATCAACACCACTATGTGATTGAAAACAAAAAGAAAAACGTTAATTGCAATGCTAGAAGCAAATGTTTTCAACTAGAATTTTGAATTTTGGACCTTTTTTATCCCCTTATATTCCACTTCGGTAAACTGGATATAAATTGTACGAGGACAATCTTGGACATCATATTAAGCAACAAAAGTTAAGGGCTCGAAAGATTTGTGAGGTATACAATGCTGATAAAGTAGAAGGCTCATGATACTGAGGGAGACATTGACGGACGTCAATAATTTTTGCAGACCAAACAAGGGTACTCATGTATGTTCGGATTTACAAAATATGTTATCATGCTTACAGATCCTAAGAAAAATAAATCACGCGGTTTTAAATAGGTAACCATTTCAAAGACGATGGGGGAAAAGAAAGACCATTTACATGTTCAAGAAACTCATGAAAAAAATCATTAAACCAGAATTCAATATCGTTATGCACATATCAAAAGAGGATGACCATATGAGTGAAGTTAATGTAACTTGAAAAATTAAATGTTTTCTAACCTTGGGTACATAAAGTTGGTCTGATCCCCGCCGCGGAGATACTCCTGCTGCATCTGGGGATGATACTCTAATATCTGTTAAGCCACAAATTGGTTAAGCAATACGATAAATAGAAACCATATGCTACCAAAGCACCGAATGTGGAGTACCTCTCGATAAATCAGTTCTCTGACATCGTCTTTTGCCAATTTCCTTCTTTCGAACTCGAATTCTAGTTTCGAAATGGGCTGAGTGGATGGTTCACGATCCACACTTGCCAAACCATAAAAATATCGATCAGCTAAAGCCTGCCAACATAGAACATCAACGTTAGGGACATCAGAAGCTTGTGAGTCATGATCTAACTGGCAGATTTATCATTTATAGTTGATTTAATGTCAAGGGTGAGAAGAATTATCATATAAGGATGAAGTGACGCTGACAAAACATCAGATCAAAAGAAGTTGAATTCAAGTCCATACCTTCATGGATTTCAATTCTATAGTAATTATAGCCTTTATGTTTTCTGAATATAAAAAATGTTATTGAGAAACCCCTTTTTCTGTAAATTTCAGGGTCATCTCTTGTATGCATACTTCGTTTCTCTTTTAGTGCTTTTAAAAAAATTAAAATCCTAAGATTGCTCAATCTTACTTCTTCAGCCGTGGGACGATCTTTTGGATCAAATGCAAGTAAGCGCTCAAGTAGGCGAAGAGCCATAGGATCCACATTAGGGAACTTCTGTGAGAAAGGAACGGGTGGTTTTTTACGCATGCTACTAAGGTACCTCCTTGCCTTTTCATTTCTAATCTGCCAGTTCATGATAAATTAAGCAAAATGAGTGGTCAGTATTTAATCTCTCGAATTGAAACTCAGTAACAAAGCTTGAAATCAGTGTCAGGTTGAAGTGAATGCATTTCAAGTTGAATATAGGAACACAAGATAACTAACCCTTGATATGGATTCAGGAGGGGGAGTGCCAAGCATATCAGTCATGAGATCCAATTGGTGCACCACATTTTTTCCAGGAAATATTGGTTTTCCTTTAAGTATATCAGCAAATATGCATCCTATGCTCCATATATCAATTGCAGGAGTGTACTACAATAGAATTAAAAACTCGGAAATTACAATTATAGCCTAAGAAAACATATTTTTGGTTTTAACCACCTGTATCCGATCTATTGAATATTTAATACAATTATTATACATCAAAAATCAAATGAAATTTCAGATGCTGCACTTCTAGTTTTCAGAAGATATATAAAAACAATTGATTAACAAAAAGGTCGATGGAGACAATGATAGGTGAGCACCAATAACACTAAAAGTGGCTAAAATATTCAAGATAACGGAGCATGCCATCTGAATACAGATGAACTAAAGAAAAGAGCACAGTATTTTTCTTTAGCTCCTAGCCTTTGCTAATATGATCAATGTCGTTAGCTTAATTTAGAAGAGATTTGATTTGAGCACACAGAGAATAAACCTATTGATTACATGGCCTCTCTAACATCACATTAAACAGTACCTTTAACAACTTACAGGTATTAACTTTATTATTCCAGATTGCAGTAACAACAATACAAATTCTTAAAGCTGCAAGATTAGCTTAAAAAATTTCCCCTAGAAGATGATGTAGGAAAAAAAACAATAAATGATGATTACAGAAATGGCTGACAGCTAAGTTAAAGATAACGCAGCAAACTTAAATTCCACATAAGAAAAACTATTAACTTACAAGTGCAAAGCAATCCGATATTGACTACTTCAAAGATCAATACTTAGAATTAAACCATTCCAAGAACTTTACTCAAACATGCTACCGACAACATCAAATTAAAGTGAAGAATGATGTATATGCAAAAAGGATGTCAAATGAAATTCATATCTATCAAAAAGTAAACAAAAATGCCTACTGTGGTTTTACTGCCAAGTAAAATTGAAATCAAAGTTCAAATAGAATAACTCGGGAGCAACAGTCCAAACAAATTTCTCTGGATAAATACCAACAATAACTGTTCCATATAAAGTAGAAGGGGAAGAACAGGGGAATGAAAATATTTTGAGAAATCAAATCAATATATATATATATATATATGACTACCTTACCGAAACAAAAAATTTATCTCCGTCTCCTTTAGCAATCTCAGCAACTGGAAATAAGAATGTAAAGATGAAGAGCCTAATATATAGAAGACTAAAAGAACTTACTTTGGAGAAAAATGATCCACAGAGTTCAGGAGCACGATACCAGCGGGTCGCTACATAGTCCTAGATGGATTAAATAAGTTAGATTAGTTAGCACCACCTTTTTGGAGGTTTGCCTAGTGTAATTGGCAGGGTGGGGGGAATTTAAAAGTAAATTAAGCCTTTGAGAAATACTAAGGAAAGATGAATGCGGAAGCTTGAAGATTTCATGCAAGAACAACATACAGTCCAAAAAATGGCAGATGGGGCATCGTTAAATGACACTCGAGCAAGGCCAAAATCGCATATCTTCAACTTACAGTCAGCATTAGCAAGGATGTTCTTTGGTTTTAAATCTCGATGGAATACATTTGCTGCAGCAAATGGAAGCGAAAAAATTATACAAGGAAGAGACAGGGTCAGGGAAGCATTCTGAAATGCACTGACCTGAGTGTATATACTTGAGACTGCGAAGAAGCTGGTATAAGAAAAACTGATGATGCTCGGGAGTTAAGTCATCATTGGCCTTAATTACTTGGTGAAGATCAGATTCCATCAACTCAAAAACAACATAAATATCTCTGAATTCCCGCCGGGATGGAGGGAGCATTATATGTTTTATTTCTACGATATCAGGATGCCGCAGCAACCGCAGCAACTTGATTTCTCTCAAAATCCGTGTCGCGTCAGAAACATGCTCAAAGACATCATTAATCTTTTTTATTGCAACCTTTTCACCCGTGTGGTTGTCAATTGCAGAAGCAACAATCCCATAACTTCCTTTCCCGATGATCTCCTGAATTTGATATCGGCTTCCCTCTCCATATTCAGTGAAAAAATCTGCTTCAGGCTCACCCTGCATAGCACCATTGTTTACAAACAAGGAACAAAAATGGAGCGCCGCATGCATGTGTTGAATAGTCAATTAATGATTCATCACAACAACAAAAGGCAATGCAAGTCCAATATTTTGTTTCTTAAATGAAATCAGAAATCAAGAAAATACCTTTTTCTGAGAAGCCATGGGAGGAAAAAGGAGGTTTGATGAGATTGAGGGAAGAATAATCGAAATCTAGTACTGGCTGTTGCTAGCGATGGAGTTAGCGTACAAGTTGAATGATCCAAGACAATATTATTATTGTTGATGTTTTGAGTATTATTATTAGAGGCAGAAGAAGAGATGGTGAAATGGCGACATTGAAACCAGGCACAGAAGAACGTCGAGGAGAGTGCCACTTGCCCCTATCAACTCTTTCCTTGGGTCCTCAGCCAATCAACTCCCGCTTCCCATTCCGCATTTCCTTCTCCTCCCCTTGTATTATCTCTCTCTTGTTTATATTTTTTATAAATAGATTTTACCTTCTTTCTCCCATGTTTTGCCCGATCCACCCGGAGAAACAAAGTAAAAATACAAACTCCTCTATATTTAGTAAGTGAAGCGCAGAGAGAGACATACTGGGGATTTCTTTTACGTACATATCTCCCAAAACACACCTTTTTCCTGCCATATTTTAAGATTAAGTCCACTGAAGAAAGTGCTTCATCTCCAAAACACATGAGCATGATCAGTTGATCACAAATAGCGCTGTGCCAACCATTACACTCAATAATACGAGTCACGATTTGTACATCCCGACTGGTGATACATTATACTCCAGCATAGGAGCTTGAACAAGTGAGTGCTATCCTCAGACGAGACAGCCCTGGATGTGTCCAATTCGGAAAGTCAAATAATTTATTTATCGACAACCATTCTATATGAAGAAGAAAACAGTATGCACTTTGAAAGCAGGTGTGGAAATCTCGGATTTCAATGAACCTGGCACAAAAGAATCTATATGCCATGCATAAACCACCTTCACTTCAAACTATCAAGGATGTAACATGCCAATAATAAATCTTAATACAAAAACTTTACCTCCAGAAATTATCCTCACTTTAAAAAAGACAGTTATTTTTTGCCCTCTACCGACAAATTGTAGATGTACATTAATAAGATGACTAAATAAAAGAGGTTATAATAAATTCAACTTTAAACATTAAATTTAAATTTAAATTTTAAAATGAAAACATTATCTAATTTAATATTAAAATAGATAAAATTTAATTAAACGCCAAAAAAGTTAAAGACCTATTTCTAAAGTCTACATAGTTTTGTCCTTACTCTTGACATTACAATCTAAATGTAATTAAAGGCTTTAAGTTTTAGGAACATCTATCCTCTAATTTGTTAACTTGTATATGTATTAAAAATGAACGAATATGAAGTTTTAGAAGTTGAAAGTTCTCCAAATTTTATTTCATTTTTTCTTATTTGTTAATCAAAATATATTAGTAGAATATCTTATTTGATTTCATGATGAGTAGAACTTTATTCTGTAACTTAAGTGTTTAAATCACAAGATTAATTCAGATAAAAGAATATATTCTTTTAGATAATCCAAATTTAAATAATTTTATTGGTAAGTATGTATAAGTTTATTAATTTTGAAAATAAATATAAATATTATCTTTAAACATATTAATATGTTAAAAAAAATAACAATGTAAATATATAATGTGTTGTCTATAATTTTGTATAAAAATGTCTCGGTAATATTGCAGTATACCATGTTTCCAAATATTACAAATTGCAGAACCTGACCATATAATTCTCAACTTTTATAAGACTTCATGTGAAAATATTATAACTCCGGCATGGTGGCCGGAGACGGTTGAACGGCGGAAGTTGGAGGTGATAGAGGAACCAATAATTATAGTTAGTGGAGAGAACAACAAAAAGGCAAATAGTTTTTTTACTAAATTAGAGAAAAATGATTACAAAAGCTTAGTCTTAGCCTAACACTTTAATAGGCTCTTAATAATATGCTAACAAACTAACTAAGAGTTTGTTTGTTTGGGGAAAACCAATTATGGAATTGGTTTTCTCCGAAATCTCGTGTTTATTTTACATAATTCGTTTTTTGAAAAATGTTTTCCCGTGTTTGTTTTACGTAATTCGTTTTTCGAGAAAAAAAATTCAATGTTTGGTTAGAGGAAAACTGGTTGGTCAACGTAAAACATTTTACTGATCAATAAAATTTCATTTGTGTTTTATGAAAAATGTCTTACGTTCTGATTTTTCGTAAGTCATTTTCCGAAGTTTTCACTTCAAATAATAAATAGTGATAGTTTTGCCTCTATTTTGCATGCTGATTTCGCAAGGAGCTGATGTTGTCTGTTGGTTCCTTTTGGTTTGACTTTGTTTCTGCTTGCTGGTTTGAGTTTGTTGTTTTATTATTCCTTTGGTTGTTGTGTGGATTTTTATATCTACTATTTTCTTCCGTCTAGATTTAGAGGAATTTTTAACGAGACATGTGACAATATTTTTAAATGTATGAACTTTTTATACTATTTCATAATAAAAATGATCTGATTCTGTGTTTAGATCAATTTGATATTTTGATTTAATTCATTTACTAATTTTTCAGATAATTTAGATTGGATATTTGAAAAAAAAATAGATAATTAGATCATATACGAATAGTCTAAATTCTAGTTCTAAATCATCCAAAAACCCAATAAAAAATGGGTCTTTAGAATTTAGACAACTTTTAGCCTAATAAGTGAGTAACCCGCTAACCACTAAGACTCTGACCAATAAAAATTAGTATGTTTAATTATTCATTGTGTATATATATATATATATATATTTATAAGAGTAGATGTATAAAGGATGTTTTATAAAGTTACAAAATATAAAATTTAAATATGAAATTTGTCAAATTAAATTTTATGTTTGAATTTGGATATCCATATATTCGATTAGAAATCCAAATTAAAATATGAATCACAATTTTAGTAATTTAAAATTCTAGAAATTTAAAATTAAATAATATATGATATACGACAGAAATCTTCATATGTAACAATCAAAGATAAATCAAATATGCACAAATTAAGTGGTTTTAATGATTAAATGATTTGTTATTATCCCCTTAAAATTTCGATTTCTAACACACATATACAAGAATATAAACAAGAGTATTTGATCAAGTATTGTATTATATTCAATCCAATTTTTTTTTTTAAAAAAAGATAAAGCAAATAATACTAAGAGAAGTTGAGGGAGTAAAGATGCAATTACGGTATGGCTTTATAGATTAGCGTGTGGATTACTTTTCATATATATGGCATGCTTTATAAAATGATGTGAAATTTATTTTAATCTTCGGATAAACTACACTATTAACCCCTTTTCCTTTTGGTTTGTCTTATTTTAGTCATCAATTTTGAAAGAAATACATTATGGTCACTTTTATTTTCAATCTCTTATTTTGACAACTAGTTCATTAACTTTCGTTATTTTGTTAATGTGGTACGTTAGTAAAAATAATCAAATTTTTACTTGATTCCTGGTTTTTGGATGTAATAGTAATTTGACTTTAAATTTTAAATAAAATACTAATTTAACCTATAAATTTTATATAAAATATCAATTTAACTATTGAATTCAATCAAAGTTCCTATTGATGGCCACCACTCAATATCATTGTTGGTCCGCAACTGGAGTTTTGTGTGACAAGAAGGTGCCTCTAAAACTTAAGGGAAAATTTTATAGAATGACAATAAGACCAGCGCTGTTGTATGGATCAGAATGTTGGGCAACTAAGAATGATCACGTAAGGAGGATAGAGGCCACAGAAATGAGAATGCTTCGATGGACATGCGGTAGGACTTTGTGGGATATGACAACAAACTCTGCAATTAGGATGTCCTTGGGGGTGGTGCCTGTTTTCGAAAAATTGAGGGAGGGAAGACTACGGTGGTTTGGGCATGTCCTTAGGCGACTACCGTCGGATGCGGTCAGGAGGGTAGAGTCGATTACAGTCGACGGTGTTAGAAGGAGAGGACGACCAAGGCGGAAGTGGGAAGACTGCTTGAGATCTGATATGATGGATTTAGCCCTTTCCGAGGACATGACCTCTGATAGGAAAGTATGGAGACTTAAGACTAGAGTAGTCGAGTAGTGTGGGTCACATCTTTAGGGTGTAACATCTCTGTCTTCTTATATTACCTTTGTAGTAATTTCCATGACTTCTACTTTTTATACGTTTCTGTTATTGATATTTATGAAGGCTTAGAACTGGGCTTGCTACCGTTGACTTCTGTGTATCATTCTCTTCACTTTTAAATTTAGTCGGGTCTTACTTTTCTATCTATATGCATAGATCTTTTCGCAGGGATTTATTTGCAGGGATTACTTCCAATTACAGACGCGCATACGTTATTAATGATTGCATATGAATACTGTTCAATTATGTATTTATGTATTTAGTTATACATGTTGCATTTTATCTATATTTTAATTTTTCTGACTGCCGGAGGTCTTCCACGAAAGCTACTCTCAACCTGGCGTTGGGGGCAGCCTACTACCCTACCTCCCCCTTACCCCATTGCATATGGGAATTGGGTTTTATTGTTGTTGTTGTATCTTTAATATACAATTAAAAAAAGATATTATCGGTTTTGTTATTATTTAAATAATAAAATTAATATTATTATTTATACCTAAAACATCAATGTTTTTTTAATATTTTCGGTAAAGTGACAAACAATAACAAAATCGGTAGAAAAAATAACAAAACTGGTAGAAATAATAATGTTTTTAGTAATTTTTTACGATATTATTATTTAAATAATAACAAAACCAATAGTATATTTTTTTAACCGTATATTAAAGCTATCACACGTGATATTTTCATCAATTGTTGTTTGTCGATGGATGTTAGATTCTAAAATTTTTAGTTTACTCTTTTTTGACCTCTTGAACTTGAGTCTAATATTCGTTTCACCAAAAATACCATGCACTCCATAAACCTGGTCTAAAACATTTCAAATTTCTTCAAAAATAAATTTATTATTATATTTAAAAAAACTAAAAAAATAAAATTTATATCGTAATACATTCCTATTATAATAATAATAAAAATTTAATTTATATAAATTTTAATAAATTATATACATACAATTTTATCTTTATTGTTTAGTATTTTATGTACTATAAAAATACTTTAAGAATAAAAATTCTTAATATTTTTTTATCACTTTGATATAAATTCCGATGGTCTGTATTTATCGACAGTGAGGCACATGCACAAATTCATATTTATATTTTTACTAACATATCACATCATGAAATTAATAAAATTAATGATATAATAAATCAATAATATAAACGATTGTAATTATTTTAAAATTGGTAATTAAAATAAGCTGTCCTAAAAATAAAAGTAGTTATTAGTGTAGTTTATTCTTAATGTTTTATATAAAATTAATACTACTATTTAACAAGATTATTTATCATATGACTGCTCATTATTGACGATATAAAATTAACTGACAGCTGGAACCCAATTTCCATGGAGAATCCCCACTTGTGAATTTTCAAAATACGACAAGAATCAAATCAAATCAAATAATAATAATGAAGCACATAGGTGAACGTTTATCGGGAAGACAACTTTAAAAAGAAAACAAAAAGGATAATAATAAAGAAATGCACTCACGCTATTCTAGGAGAGCAAGATATATTAAATTATTTTAATAGTAATTTTATAAGAGATTGTTTTATAAAAATATAAATAACAAAAAATAACATATATTATTAAAAATTATTTTTGAAAAATAAGATAAAAGATTTAAATCAATAATTTATATATAATATCACCTTTATTTTAAAAGGAACATAAAATATAAAAATTGGTATTATTTTTAAACAATATTTAATGTATTAATTTATTAATAACATATTAAATATAAATGTTTTATCAACTTTAAATTTGTATAATAAAATAGCTTTATAAATTTCATACACACATTTTTAATTTATTATTACAAATTTAAATTATTAAAGAATATACATCATGTAAATAATTTAATAAAATATATACTCAAACAAATTTATATTATATAATGATATAAAATAATTTTACATTCTTTTAAAATAAATAAAATAAAATAAATAGTCATATTTTTTCTTTTTTTTTTCTTACAGTTAGTCTTTTTTTTTCATCTTTATTGATCAGCGACGATACTAATTTTAATGTTAGTCACCGACAGTTAATATTCATTATTTTTTTTTATATTACGTCTTAATTTTTTTAATTTTTAATAATTATGTGTTTATGACATTTTTTTATTTATCTTTTGGCATAATTTCAATAATTGTTATTAATCATTTTAGTCGTTATATTTGTTTAATCTTTAAGGATTGAACTTAACATCGACTCGACTGATCAAGATTACACTTATTTGTTATGATACTGATCTTTCTTGCTTTGAACCCTTATATTCAATTTGGAAACACGGTTTGCATTTAGAGATAATTTTCTTATGAAGCTCAATTTTGATTTACGATTGTCAGTGATCTTTCAGTAGTTTGATACCCAGTTGTAATTCACTTATTGATACAATCAGATATGTTCATATCTATATATTTTTTTGAGTTTTTTATTATAGATTTTTAATTTATTTCTTGTATGATCCATGTATGATTATAAGTGAGTAGTTTCTTTTATCAGTGCTTATAGGAAATATGTTAATTATATATTTAAACATTCGTTATAATTTTGGATATTTCTTTTTTCATAAAATTAACGACTTTTATTTACATAAAAATAAAATAATATGAATAATAATATACTAAACAATAATATATTTTAAACATCGTATCCTTAACAATAATTTTACATTAAATAAGTTAAACATTTCTAATTTTTAAATAGTTTCTATATATATAAGAATGAATCCACAATCTAAAAAATAAAAAAATATCAACTAAGATTTTTTAATCATTTATTCTAAAAATTGTTATTATTAAAGAATGCATTAAAAAAATAAATCAAGAGGGGAAAATAAAGCAACGTGCACAAAATTCGGCATATGGATCCCATCTAATAGTACTTTAATCAAAGACCCAATAGATCCAAACCCAACCCATATGGTTTTGTCTTTCGCACAACTTTCGATACTTTCTAGGTCGTTGGCTGTACTGATCTCAATTATTACATATAAACATAAATATCAATCCTTACACGAACTTGCCTTTGAGACATTTAAGCAAAATCCATCTAGCTTTAGATTCATCGAGCAAGATGTTGACGGATGCAGACAAGGAGTTCTTATATCTAACTGCTGTTGTCACTGTATGATTTTATTTTCCTCTTATTTTTCTTCTTCTTTTTAATTTTCATAGAATTGATTATCTGGGTTGTTTTGATGTTTTCTGCAGGTGGGGTATCAGTTTTTTTTCTTTATAATCGCTGTGGTTTTGAAGTTCGATAAAGTGATTGATTTTGCAGGTACATAAACCACATGTTTATCTAATTTTGGTGTTTACTCGACTATTATTTTAGATCTGAGATTGGGAAATTTTAAATCTTTTGGTAAAAACCGTGCAGTAAGCTATTCATAGGATTCTGCAAAATGAAAGCTTGGTTTTTATGATTCATTGATTGGTGACAATAAGCGAGAGTTAATGTTTTTTGTACAATTTTAAGTTATTTAAATAGATCACTTTTGGATTTTCACCAGGAAGCTCGAATTTCACCGTCATTGCTCTGTTGACTCTGATACAGAAAGGGACATGGCATCTGCGCCAGGTAATTGAGGAAAAATCTACATGGGATATATGTACTTAATCTCTGCTAGGGTTATGATTCTGATATGAATTCAACTCAAATATTGTTGGTTTAGGGTCAATTTGACATTGTTTTTGAAAATTGCTGAGAACTATTGTGAAAAAGTTATTTTAAAAATGATTTTGAGAATTTGAGTTTAAAATTTTAGTGTATGGTATTGCTGTCAGAAAATACTTTTAAAATGATAAAATGTTCATTTCAGTAACTTAACTTTTTTTAAATTTTTTAATAAAACCGATAAAATAATTTTAAATTAATAAATTAACAATTTTTTTTAAAAATAATTAAATTAAAATTTGTCTTAAGGACAGCAAAAAAAAAGGAGAAGGCACAAACATACTAAAGCAAAATTAATATTACAATAACAAGCATGAGGTTAAATTTGTCCTTTTATTCTAAACGAGCTTTCTCACCGCTACTGTTGGAATATTCAGCTTTTCCAGTTAGGTTAAAAACCTAGTTCTAAACGCATTTTGATAACAAGAAAAGATACATTGTTTGGCATTGCTTCTATTGCCAATAAGTGATTTTGGAGCCAAAAGCTCTTTTAAAACCTCCACCGAACGGGGCCTTAGTTGATCCATTTACTAGCTTTTTGAAACGCTCTTGATTTATTAATTTAGTTCAGTTGATTTTTTGTCAATACTTAGATGCTTTGATATGAATTTAACTCAAACGTTATTAGTTTAGTTGGTCTGGTAGAAGCACTATTAAATGCTCTTGATCTGTTAATTTAGTTCAGTTCTAAGTTCTTTTGATTTTTGTTAATACTTGGCTCTCTCTAGCTCTTCTAAAAGTGTTAGTAATGATCATAATTAACAACTCCTCTTTTATAAGGCTTAAACTGATAAGATTTTGTTCTGGGGGCTGTACATCTTATTTTAAGATAGTTTTTCTTTTTTCACCCTACCAGTTTCACTGATAAGCTACGGGCTGTCTTTTATAGATTGATTTGGTTGGCTCGTGTGTATCTGCAAACACAGGTGGAAAGGAAAATGCCATGAAATCTCAATATCATAAGAAACTGAAACTAAGCAAATCATAATTCTTATGATGTTGTAGAGATTTTGTCACATTTGCCTTTTTTTTTTTGTGGATGACGTGACGCTTCTGTGTGAATATCAGCCCTGAATAATGTTCTGTGGATATATCTTCTCGTACTGATTTTGCAGCTCTACTTTTTCAGGTTGTCCTCACTTCGATGATGGTAATATGGAGCTCACGATTGGCAATATATCTCCTTATTAGGTATGATACCATGAAGATCTATGGGCTTATTTCGGGACATATTGTCATGTAATATCAGGCTTTTGACTATATCAAAAGTTTCCGGCCTTCCTTGTCATTCTGGCCAAGATTTTAGCACCCCATATTTAATCCTTAACGATGATAGTTTGTTGATAATTGGTTCTATTAAATTTTCTTTATCTATGCATGATGTATCATTTTGTATGATTCATGTAAAAAAATTTCTCTTTGTAGGTAATTATATTACTGTTGTAATTATTTCCATTTTGATGGGCCATACAATCTGGTGACCAGCATTACTTAGGTTTGTGATAGGGTTAACATGATGCTTCAAGCTTTGGAAGGGTCCCTTTGGTTTTCAGAAACATAAGGCGAATATTGGGCTGTTAGTTGGCATGCTACTTTTTAACTACCAAATGTTCCATATCATCTTCATATCTCACTGTTTGTGGCTCTTGTGGAATTTGTCCATATATTGTCTAATGAATGCATAATTTTTGGTGTGTGTGTGTGTGTGACACAATGGTGATCAGAATTCTGAGATGGGGGGAGGATAGGCGTCATGATAAGATGCGCAACAGTGTGGCAAACATAGCAGTTTACTTTATAGTTCAGGTTCTCTTCACCCGATTAAAGCTATTTCTTTGTTGTTTATGGGGATTAAATTTTAAAAACTTTAATGTATCCCAATCTTTGCGTGAATTTCAGGGTTTTTGGGCCTGGGCTGTGACTTTACCTATAACAGTGGTTAATGCGAGTGACAAAGATCCAAACATTCAGGCTGCAGACATTATAGGGTGGATCATGTGGTTTGTGGGTGCCTCTGTTGAACTTTTAGCTGATATATATAAATTTTCCTTCAAGAATTCTCCAGAAAGCAAAGGAAAGTGGTGCGACCTTGGACCATGGAAATACTCTCGCCATCCAAACTATTTTGGTGACGTGAGTATCAGAATTTTGCAGTGCATCAGTAAACAACAAAGAAAATTTGAAAAAGTTCTTTTCTTATGCATTGGTTGCATGATTGCTTTGATGAATCTAGCTAATAGTACTTGTTTTATTTAAGTACTCTCCACTATTTTTCCTGGTGCTTATAATATACATGGTTAGTAGAACCTCGTTCAATAGGTAACTTAGGATTGAAGTAACTGAGAAATGTGGGGTTTGAGGTTAGATTGATATAATAATAAGGAATGTATCTCTTTGCTTCATTTGATTGACATGGCATAGTATTCATTTTGGTCAAAGCGAAAATAGGGTTGAGGCTTTGACACTTTGCCTTTCTTTAATAATTTTCTAAATAATTTGGCCAGATTTTACTCGCTAGTGGATACTTTGTGGCCTCTATTCCCATACTTGAAGGTTCTGAATGGTATGTCGTACTCATTGGGCCAATCTTTGTGACATTGTTGCTCCTCTTTGTTAGCGGCCTGCCAGCTCTTGAGGTTTGTATTCCTTGCTTCAGTTTATTTATTTATTTTATTTTTAAATAGTGCAGTATACTGATGTTATCTTACATCTATGGACACAGGCATCGGCAGACAAGAAGTTCGGTAATGTGGATGCATATAGGATTTACAAAAAAAGAACTAGGTTAGTCATCACTTCTTCCATTGTTTAATCTCTTGAAATATGTAAGTGGAGGCCAAAGTTGCTGAGAGTTAACATCTGATTTCAGCCCTCTTATTCCACTGCCGCATGCAGTATATGGGAACCTGCCTCATTGGTTCAAAGCTGTTTTTCTCTTTGAATTTCCTATCTACAGCCGTTATTTACATAAAAACCGGTGAGTCTGCATCTATTCTTTTCTGTTAATTGTCACTTTTGGGATGTTATACGATCTTAAATCATTTCCAGTAGTAAGTTTGATTGTTGTCCATCTCCATCATGTCATTTGTGGGATGGAATTTAAAAATTCAAAATTTGAACCTCTTAGGGACAGAAATGGAAGAGCATAGTGTACTTAACCGATGCAGTGCACATATAGACCTTATGACTCGAAAGAACTTTTATGTGCTTTGCTCTGAATGTGAGTAAAAGTTTTAGCTCTAAGAATAAAAACGGAATTCAAAGATTACGAGTGCCATCTTAGCTTGTTTCACATCTCGAAACTTCATTTCAGTTTCCTGGATTGTTCAATCGAAAGATACCGGTAATGTTTTAGTGCTACCCTGTTTCAAATGTTACTGGTTGAAGTGGGTTTTCATCTAGTTTTTCATTTTTTCCAGGCGCAGCAACAGCCAAGAAGGAAGCAGGGATGAACAGAAGCTGGGTTAGTGCTTCCGGATCTTCGGGTTTTTACCAGGTCGTCCCAAAAACTTTAGTGGCATGTTTCGGATGAAGGGTAATAGGATCTTAAGGTGATGCAGCTGTGGTATTGCCTTTTAACTTTGTGTGTTGTGACCTTATCTTTATGACAGCTCTATTTCATGGATGTATTTTAGGACTTTTGAGTGTTTCGTGTGTTGAATAAACTGTTACCAACATCTTCCGTGGGATTTCTTCATGCCGTATGAAATTTGTTCTGCATATGGAACATATGGTGTTATTATCCCTTGGATGTGATTTCCATGGCAATTATATTTTGTTTTCATCATGTTTATATTTTACAATGTTAGACATTACATTCTAGGCAAATTCATTGCTTTTAATCTTTCAACTACATACTATTTCAAATATTAAAATAGAAAAGTAGCTTATGAGTTTATATGATAATAACTTTTTTTTTCTTTCTTTTGGATAAAAGGTTATATAATAATATTTCCATTGATTGAGCTGGTAGCTATAATAGTTGATAGGACCGAGATATTATGTAAATATGTCTAAATTAGGTATGCAGGTCTGTTTCAAAAGATAGACCATTTGTATTACTTTCTAAAATGAAGTAATTAAAATATTTTAGAATAAGAAATAATTTGTTAAATCTGAAATTATGGGAGATTTAGGATTATCAAAATTTATCGTGGAGAACGATTGAAGATTTGTCAAAATTTTTGTTTATAATTTTATTTATCACTTTTTTGATAATCAAATGGAAAATTTGTTTTTCTTTTGAATAAAATTGTCATCAAGGCACAAAATTTATATATAAACAAATTTGGATGATATTCATGTGTGGGATTGACATTAAGGCACAAAAATTATGTATAAATGGATTTGGGTGATATTCATGTGTGGGATTCACAAATTTTGAAGTTATATGATGTGTCATATGTCATACTTATACATAGATGAGCTTGTAAATATAATCTATATTTTTAGATAAGATATTTTTAAATTTGAGATCGCCTTTTATCACTTAAATGGATATTCTGAAAATTTTAAATGCTCAATACTATAATTATTTTTAAAATTTAATAAAATTTAACATTCAGATACTAGTTTACCATATCAAACTAGAAATGTAACAAAAAATATCATATTAAGTTGTGAATTTTATAAGATATCAAATTAAATAGCTTTAGAACATTTTGGGGACAAGTATAAATCACCATATTATCTAAGTATTAATTATAAGGGTTCTAATGAAATGTAAAAAAACTTTTGAGGGATTCAAATGAAGTTTTACCAAATTTAGGGGATCATGACTCGGGCCTCTTTAGTGATGGGCACGGGATTCGAGCCCGAGAGGGTTTGCCTCAATCCAACCCGATTGGATTGATATTTTTTTAAAAAAAGGGGTTTGAATTAGGCCAGGTCAATTTTTTAGAGGATAAGGTCAAGTCGGCTTCGGATCAGATCAAATCAGATTTTTTAGAGAATAGGTCAAGTCGGGTTCGGGTTATGGTGAAAAATACTTGACCCGACTCGATCCAAAAAAATAATATAATTATATTTTATATATTTAGGAATAATTGCTATAATACCCCTTTTTATATTATTTATTTTCAATTAAGTCTTATTTTATTGAATAAAATTAATAATTTTATATTATTTCTATATTCGAGTAGGATGAATTTGGAGTACGATGAAATTACTCTAAATTCAAGTTGGGTTAGATTTTGAGTGGAGGATATAAAATATTCGAGTATGGTCGGAAACTCGATCTATACCTATCCCTACCTCTGTTGGACCCTCTTAGATTTGCCTCGGATGGAAAATTATCATAACACCCCTAATAAAAAAAGACAAATGGAAACTATATTTATTTTAAAGGTAAAGTACATGAATGATCCCTTAACTATAGATGATTGTTTTGTTGAGTTCTCAACTATTAAAAGTTACAAAATAATCTATCGACTATAGGACATTACTTTATTGAGTCTCCCGACTATTAAAAATTACAAAATGGTCACTCGACTATTCTCTATTAAAAGTTATAATAATTATCAAATTGATTAATTCGATTTTAAACATATAGGTCGGAATTTGAATTAAATGATACAAATTATAATCAATAAATTAAGATTTAAAACTATTTTTAACGTACACAAGTCTATATTAGAGAATTTTCTGAGAGATAATAAGGTTATTTAGTGATGCCAATACAGTAAGCGTAAGCTATCCAATTTTAAATTTCATTCCATGAGACTTGAGAATCCAACAAGTGTTGCAAATTCCATATATTTTACTCAAGTAAGAATAAAAGTAGGAAAGACTCGCATTCAGTACATGGAAATAACTTATATACGATACCTTTTGATTCACATCGTCTGAATCCAATCAAAATCCTCCGATTTAGATTACTCGTCTTTACTCTTGGCCGGATTATTCATCAGCTTCCGGAACTCCTTGAAATTAACATTCCCATCCTCATCTGCATCAACTGAAGTGATCATCTTGACGCATTTCTCAACCGAGCACTCCATCCCCAACTTATTCAAAACCAGATGCAACTCCTCCGCCGAGATGAGGCCGTTCTTATCCTGATCGTACAAATCAAAGGCCTCACGCAGCTCCGCCTCGGCGTTGGAATTGTCAAAATTCGATCGGCAGAGGATGAGGAATTCGGAAAGGTTGATGAAGCCATCTTTGTCGATGTCGATTTCCTCCATGACGCGTTTGAGTTCCTGCTCGGGGGAGGAGCACCCTAGCGCTATCAAGACATCGTTGAGCTCCGTTACGGAGATCTTGCCGTCCTTGTTCTTGTCGAATTGGTTGAACACTCTTTGGAGCTGCTCATCCATGGCGGTGTTTGAGTTATGGACATGGTTGTTTTGATTTTGGGAATGGTTAAAGGAACGAACCGGGGGATTGAGTGACTAATTTTAGTGCCCAATTTGACGGGAGCGAAAAAGGAGGCTTGGCAGGAAAACAAACAGATCAAGTACTATTACATTTCTGTCCTTGCAATCCTCCTCTTTCATTCAAACCTCCCCACGTGCTGTTGTTTTGTTTCTATTATTTACGGACGTCATTGGAAATACGCTTCCAAATTTAGACCATACACGCATGATTCATTTAATTTTTTTTTATAAATTTAGAGTGAATTATTTATAATTTTATATTTTATGTATTTTAATTTTTAACATCTAATTTTATATTAATTTTTTAAAAAATAAAAATTATTAATTAATCAACATTTAATTTCAAGAGATAATGTGACAAATCTACATAATATATAAAGGTATTGACGTGTTATAATGACTCGTCAATAGAAAAATATTTTTAAATTAATTATAATAATCACATAAAATTATTTAATTTGTTTAAAATAAAAAATAAACTTTAGATAATTTAAACACCAAGACACAAAGTTAATATATATATATATATATATATATATATTATTTAATCACTAAATCAAGTCATGGACTTGACCTATTTTTAATAATACTTATTATATAAGATATTGTAGAACTCCAATTTCATAATTACTTGTAGCACCACCTCCTTCGTCCTCTTAAAAGTAAAGCATTGTCCTCTTTCCTTGTATAAACATGTCTATGTGCCTCCTGATATGTGCTTGTTAATGTTGCAAACCAAAAAGATAAATCTATTTCATTACTGAAAAGCCCCATTAATTGGTCACATTTTTACAACTACTTAATGTAATGTTATTTTAATAACATAACACAAACTTGATAAAATGGTGCATGCAGTGTTTATATTGTGGGTGTCGGGATGAAGCCAAGTGAGTGATCTGGACAACGGCAAGGCGTAAGAGAAGGCCAACGGCAATGGAAGCGGCTGCCATGACAATTGGTCCTGTCACGGCCATTGCAAAAGCTGCAACGGAATTCCCACATGCTATGATCTTTGGTTGCAACGCCAAGAACATTAAAAACCAAACATTTCTCTTTCTACTATGAAATAAAAGAAAAATCTGAAAGATGAAGGGCTTCCGCCATCAGTTCTATTGACATATCAAATCCAAGACACAAACTAAGCAAAATAGTAGAAGACGTTATCATCACCACAGTTTTTCTTACTTCCATTGCTTTGTTACAACACAGTAAAGATATGGGGGAGTGTCGGAAAGACCAGAGTTTCAGTCGTTTGAAAGTAGAGGAAAAAAAATGCTTGTGTAACTTCCTGACCAAGACCAAACATGGCCATGCATATGACAGAATTGATGGACTTTATAATCGCAGGCATTTCCACATTCTATGCAACGTGGGTTTGGTTTGAGCAGAAAGAGAAGCGTGTAGATGAATGGGATTAGACCAAGTGAGTCCTATCAAGCTTGAATAGGTGTTGGGGTTTCTTATAAGCTTTCTCCAAACCATGATCAGTATCAGCCTTGTTGGAGGCATTGTTTTGGGCTTGCCATCGCCCATTACTTTTTCACCATCGTCATTGTTTGATCCTCCCTTTGCAAAGCTCAAGTCTTCTCTCTCTCCATGCACTCCTCGAGATTCTCCATGTGCCCTTCAGCTCAACAAAACCCAAAGTAGCACCACAAAACTATTATTCTTTTATATATCGTATACATAATATAAAACTGAAGCAAAAGATATACCTTTCCCTTGGGAAACGGCCAATCTAACTTCTTTATGGTCAATAGCGCCATAATCATGATGGCCACCAAAGACATCGGATATAGAAGCACTCCGACTCCAAAAAACACTGGAAGATTCCTACCACCATCTTCAGACTTTTGCTGGGGATGATCGTTAGTCTTATTTGCATTAGCACCGAGAGTTTTATGCCCAGTCGGCGAAAACATACCAGGGTTAGGAACCGGGTAATGAGCAGCAGCGCCAGCCACCACCCGGTACCTGGTAATGGAACCTTGGCATCATAGTTGGAATGCCAGGGAGTTGGTCCACGAGAGGCAAACAAACCGTAAACGTCTGCAGCACTGAAATTTGAGTTGCGTCCCCCAGTCCTAGAAATCAGTGTGATTAAAGCTTGAGCCTCTTGGTGTTGCGTCCCACAACAATAAAAGTATATTTTCCGTCATTTTATTTTTCTACGCTCTTAATTTCTAATTTACTATTTTCTTTTCATCCTATTTAAGAAAACCCCAGTTTTGGATGTTTATATATAGAGAAGATTATGAAGCTTGTATGTGATGTAATTTGTCGGGCCTTCCATTAAGGTTATTATGAAGAATATTAAGCAAAGCCTAAGGCATGCATATATACTTTCAGCTGACTGAGAATTTGATCATATGATACAATAATACAAAGAAAACAATTATATGATATAATAGGCGAATGAGCATTCGTTTACAAAAACAGGATTGATAGGAGGATGGATAAGAGGTAAAAAAAAACTCTGAATGATGCACGTAGACATTAATTAATTCAAAACGAACTCAACTGAAATTAGCATAAAATACATGTTTTTGATATGCGAGGCAAATACCATTTTCCAATTTGTTTTAATTTTTAACTGAAATATTCTCTATGGTACAATGTAAGTGCTCTCTAGAACAAAGCCGAAGAAGCCTATCTATACATTTTTCTATGGAGATTTTAACCTGCATTTAAGATGACTTAATACATCTAATCTGAATTACCAGAACTGGCAATTAGAGTGCAGCAGCAGGTACAGCATGCTCATTAGGCTCATGAGCCCCTGCAGCAGCAACAGCATGCCTGCGTTGACGCTCACGAAGATAAAGAACAGTGAGTAAACAAACAAATAGAGTCAATATTGTTGCATTTCCTTCCTCCATGATCACATTCTCAACCCATGCTTCCACTCTAGGATAAACTTCGGGCAGGGAATCGATTACACGGACCTAACCAAAACAACAACAAAAAGTAAAAAGTCAGATGGCATGACTAAAGTGACTGGTGCAAAAGTAACTTGGAGATCTATGCACTTGGCAGACATTTCTGATCACTGTCTCAAGGAGCAAATCAAGAGCCAATGACGTTACATTAATTATGCGTATCTATACACTGCCAAGCTGCTTTCATAGGGTTTGAAGATGTTAAGCTAAACTCTGTTTATACAACTAAAGATTCATGTGGTAAAAGGAACGAGGACTGCTTATTGCATTTGTAAAACTGGAATGCAAGATGGTGCAGACAACAATTGATGGGGAACAGTGAACCAAAACTTCTGATTTGTGTTTAAGTGTAAGCATTGGGCAAAGGAATGAGACACAATTGCATTAAAGATTGAACAGAGTTTGATCTTAAAGATATGCTCGAGCAAGGAGGGGCAAGAAGAGGGAAATATACCACAAAGAGAAACTCACCAGGAAACTTTCAGCATAATTCTTTCGTATCCACAAACTAGCGAGTGCCAGGGTGACAGGCAACTTTGCTGCTGGTTCTAGCTCTAGTGCCTGATCATAGTACCGCTTGGCAAGATGGAGGTCAAATGGAAGTCCTTGGCCATGCTCATGCATGTATCCCAGGTTGAACATGGCTTGAGCATTTGATTGGGATTTTGCATGTATGTACGCTTCAGCTGCACGCTCATAATCCCTCACAGTTCCCTGAGAGAAAAAGTAATAATTACAGAAAACCTCAGCATGTAATATGAAAGCAATATAATCAAGAAAGATTATGCCAAAACTAGACACAGCCTTCTCTATTGAGACTAAAGATACATACTCGGCCATAATAATATGCATCCCCAATAAGTAATGCAGCATGTTCGTTACCCTGCTCGGAAGCTTGCCACCACAAAGAATGAGCACAGTGATGCCTTTCTGCATCAGTGCAAAGCCCAGATTCACCCATGCACATGATGCGCTCACCAAATTTGTCAAGGATCCATGCAGCATTACTCTGTGCTATCTCGTAGCCTAACTCAGCCATTCTAGAGTACAAGAGGAATGCTTTGCCCATGTTGCCTTTTAGGTATGATTCAAGTGCCCACCTAGAGAGGGAACTCCACGGTCCACGTTCGGCAACTAGTTTGTATAATGCAGTAGCCTAGAGAAGGGGAAAATTTTTAATTATGCACACTGATTTACCTCTCTAGACATCAGTATCATTCATGATTACAGAGTGATTGACATAACAATTCACAGAATAAACATAAGCAAAGGCGAGTTATAATTATTGCAACTTATTTTCTAAACAAAATTATAATTTCAGAAATTTTCTACAGTGGTCAGAGATCTGTTTTCTTTTTCCCCTTTAGGACTGAGAAAAGAAGAGCATGGGTAGAAATAAAAGAAGTCCGATTTTTTCATTAAGTGGTTTAGAAGTTATCAAGATCCAATTCTGTGTGTATGGATTCAAGCAGAATACAAGTCAACAGCAGTCAATCTAGCTGATGGAACGCAAAAATTAATGTCACCTATTACAGGACAAAGGTAGCAGTTTCCAGCTTAAGCGATTAATAATTTTGTCTGCTATGTATGACATTTCTTGGCATGACAGGTAACTACATGATAGGCAGCAAAAACAAAGTTCTTCTAAGAGAATGAACAAACTCTTTCAGGTAGCTAAGTTCTAAAAGGACCTTGAAAAGTCGAAACAATTTTTTTTCTTAATAGAATGATAAACTCTTGCATCCAATGGAAATTAGGAAAATTTGTGAAAAATCATGCACACTGTATTGGCAGGGTGAAAATTTTGAATAGAAAATGGAACTTAAAGCGCAAGTAAAATGGAGTTTATGTATGTCATTCATACAGATATATAGCTCATAGGAAGGTGAAAAACTAAAAATAAGGAACTATAAGTATAAACCATAATATTTACCATGGGAAGATTTTTTTTAAGCCCAACACCAGTATGAAACATCTTAGCCAACTGATAAAATGCCTTTGGTTGACCTGCATTAGCTGCCACAATAAAACATTTACAAGCAATCTTCACATCCTTCTTCACTCCAATCCCTTTAAGGTACATTACTCCCAAGTTATAGTGCCCACCAGCATCATCATTATCAGCAGCCTTCTCAAAGTACTCTTTCGCCTGCACAAAGGAAAGAATCAGTTTCTGAAACAACTCTGCACTTAACATACAAACCATACGCCATCCAGATAGAGTTTTTTTGGTGTCTTAAAGGTTTTTTTTTTTCTTTTAAGAAGGAAAAAAACTAAATCCATTAAATTGCCAGTAACCTTAATCTTACTAAAAGAATAGACAACACCTAGCAGCAGCCATGGAAATGACAAATTGGTCTTACATTCAAAATCATGTATATCCAATCCATGAATAACTATCTCCAATCTTAGATTCTTAGTTACAACTAAAAAACCTGAAGCATGCAACTTTTAACCAACACATCATGATACCTCCAGATTACTAATAGACGAAAGTGCAACATAAAATAGAAAGCATTGAGTAGAAAGATAAAATGAAAAACTTCAAAACATTTAATAAAGTGAAAAACTAAAAAACAGAGCCACCATAGAGCTAAACAGCTTTGAGTAGAAAGATATTCTATTGAACTAAAATTTTCAAGCAATGTGAAGAATGCTGTTGAAACATAGGTCAAGAACCTGTAATCTGAAAGCAATGCCTATATCAAAGCACCAGAACAAGTAAAAAGACAAAGCAAGGTGATATCGCACATACAAGATAACAAGACAAATGGAAAATTAGTGGAATTCGAGAGAAAATAAACATACTTTGGTGTAGTTCTTCTCCACACCGTAGCCTTTAACATATAAATAACCCATCCCATTGTAAGCTGAATGAAGGCCATGATCAGATGCAAGTGAAAGCCACTCAAGAGCCTTGGTGTAATTCCTTTCCACTCCAGCTCCTCTAGCATACATCTCACCAAGAAGTTCAAGAGACCTGGGCTCCCCTTTTTCCACAGCTTTCAAAAACCACATCAAAGCCTTGGCATGATCACGGCGCAACCCTCTCAACCCAAAATAGTAAAAAAGACCCATTTTGTACATAGCACCAGCATTCCCTTTCTGTGCTTGATATTCCAATATCTGAAAATCTTCATCGTCTTCTCCTCTTGACTTCTTCAAAGCTTCCTTGTTCTCCTCTAACCCATTGTGTATCCTAATAGGTTCGATTACCGGTGAATCTTTGGATATCAAGAAACTGTTAACCGCTATTTCTGCCAATTCAGCATATAGTCTAACAGCCTTTTCATGCATCTGAAAAAAATCAAATGTTAAGGAAAGTTTAAAATAAACACAAACGGGGATATCAGATTTCCAAAAACAAATAAAAAAATAAAGGAAAAGTTTACATCTTGTCGAGAGTATGTGTAAGCCAAAGCCATCTTGGACTGGGCATTGCCAGCTTCGGCAGCGAAATAATGATTCAGAAAAGCTTTGGCTTTGTTTCTCTCACGCATCATCCCCATCCCGTACAAAAAACCTAGCACCGAACGTGCGTGCGGATCACCCTCCGTATTAGCAGCCGTCTCAATCTCCGCCGCGGCTTCCGACATCAACCTGGTGTCACCGAAGGTGGAGGCGGAGATCATTTTATCAACGGCAGTGTAGTAGGATTCGAGTGAGGTGTCTTGGGAGGAGGAGACGGTGATGGTAGAGGGCTCGAAGAGGCGGCGCCATGAACCGGGATCGAGCTCGTTGTCAGGCTTAACGTGAGTGCCGCCGAAGTCGTCGTCGTCCCAAGAAGGGTCGGATTCGAGGGAGGAAGCATCGTCGTTTTGGACATCCTTGAGGTCGTCCTGGGAGAGGACGAGAACGAAAGGGCGGGCGAGGAGGGAAAAGGGGAAAAAAGAGAGAAGTAGGAGAAAGATGAAGAGATGGCAGCTTGACCTAGAAGGAGGAGAATACATCAGTATCTGTTTTTATCGGAAACAGTGAGAATTTGTCGGAGTGAATTCCAGTCTCTGTCGGGATTTGTTGGGAGGAAAGGAAATAGATTTGGAGATCAGAAGACGGGAAATCCAGAGCGAGCGTGAGACACAGAGAGAGAGAAGTAGAACGATGTTTCATTCATTTCACCACGTTTACTTTGGTCCCTTCATCCAATCACTTTTTGACATCTCAGCCTGTATCAAGTTTAATCAATTATTTTTTTCTATTTCTTAATTTAATTAATTAATTAAAAGATGGTTTTTATTCACTAAAATAGTCCTATAATATCATAAGAATTGACCGTATAAACATTTACATGGTCAAGCTGTTTATTTAATGTAAACTTTTATATACATACTATATACATTATCAAGAAATCATTTTTTATAGATAACGAATTCTCGAAAAATTTAAAATATAAATCTTAAAATTATTTGAAAAGAAAAAAAAATCTCAAATGTAAACTTTCGTTTAGGTTTGTTTACATTCGTTCGTTTCTGTTTGTTTACGTTCGTTCGTTTATCATTTTAACAAACGAATATAAACAAATTATATTCCTTAAAGAACAAACATGAATAAAAAAATTTATTTATTTAATTATTCGAGTTCGTTCTTTCGTTCAAAATTAAACGAATGAAAATAAACATACTCCTATTCATGTTCGTTTGATATGTTTATGGGTGTAGTTGGTAGTATAATTAATTTCCCTTTACAATCAGATTTCTTCAACTGGGACGTGTGAAGCTTCGATATTGTAACGGAGCCTCATTTTCAGGAGATAGCAAGTTCGACAATGGGGTAACTATCTCATCTTAGGTGATGTTTGTTTTTAAAGAGATAAAAGTTCTGCAGTCTGCAGACCACATTTGCAGACATCTGTAGTAGAAGAGGTGGACCAAAAGTCTGCAGTTTGTAAGAAGAAGATTGTTTGTTTTTTAAAGTCTGCAGACTGCTAAAATAAATTGATTTTTTAAACTTAAAAGAGTTTTGCAATACTAAAATTTAAATAATTTTATTTTTATAATAATGAAATTTAAATAATTCATACAACTACAAATAAATCAATTCATATTTTAAAATAAATCAATCCATATTTTAAAATAAATCAATCCATATTTTAAAATAAATCAATCCATATTTTAAAATAACTTTTTTCATATTTTAAAATAAATCAATCTATATTTTAAAATAACTCAATCCATATTTTAAAATAAATCAATTCATATTTTAAAATAAATCAATCCATATTTTAAAATAAATCAATCCATATTTTAAAATAAAATTTTCCATATTTTAAAACAAATCAATCTATATTTTAAAATAATTTTTTTTCATTTTTTAAAATAAATCAATCAATATTTTAAAATAAATCAATCCATATTTTAAAATAAATCAATCCATATTTTAAAATAAATTTTTCCATATTTTAAAATAAATAAATTCATATTTTAAAATAAATAAATTCATATTTTAAAATAAATCAATCCATATTTTAAAATAAATCAATCCATATTTTAAAATAAAATTTTCCATATTTTAAAATAAATCAATTCATATTTTAAAATAAAATTTTCCATATTTTAAAATAAATCAATTCATATTTTAAAATAAATTTTTTATATTTTAAAATAAATCAATCCATATTTTAAAACAAATTTTTCCATATTTTAAAATAAATCAATTCATATTTTAAAATAATTTTTTATATATTTTAAAATAAATTTTAAAATAGATTTAAATGATTTTAATTTTTCCCGCAGACTTTGAAGATATAAAACTATGTCTGTACCAAGAAGAGCTCGCGCAGACGTTTGAAGAGCTTCTGTTTTCTAAAAAACAAACGGTATGTGAAGCCTAATGTCTGCGCGTAGTTTGTGCGGCGCAGGCATAAGAGGTTTGAAGAGGTTGCACAGTAAAAACAAACACCACCTTAGTTTTGTTCCATGAAGTGTGCCGTTTTTTAATATAAAAACAATTATACTTTAAGCTCCGTAACTCAAAAGTGTCATTTGAACTGGTTTCTTTGGTCATCTCTAACCCTCATCTATACTCTACAGTATCTCTATCCTTACTCTAAAGTTGAAATAGTAATTCATCTCCAACATTATCTCTACATTACCACCAACTCTACTTTATTCATAATATTTAACTATTAGTATGTATATTTATCTAATTTCAATGTATTTTTTTATCTTGCAATTTAATCTACTTTAATTTATTATATTATATTTAATTTTTATTTTATTGTGTAGAAATTACAATAAAAAAACATAAAAGATAGAATAAGAGAAAATAATGTAACAAAGAAAAGGAAAAGAAAAATAAAATAACAAAAGAAAGTAAAAAAATAACAAAAACCAAAAATCAGAAAAATATATATATTATGTAGCACAACTATAGTGTTGCGCCAGATGTAGAGTATCACTGTAGCATCTCCACATTTCAAACTCTACTCTATAAATGGACTAGAATTGAAATTAATCTTCAAAGTGGAGATTTTCTCTACTTTAGAGATGCACTGGAATTGGTCTAATTGATTCCTTTATGTGTGTATGCCTCTGAAATGCACACACATCATTGCTTTATTTCAGACGGCAGAAAATTTGGGAAGCAATTATCCATGATCTTCTACCCAAAAGGTTGGCAAGTGCAATCCAGGTAAGGTAAGTTTCAGTAGAAAGGTTGGCAAGTGCAATCAAGGTAACTTGAAAAAGATGTTACCAAGCATAGTTTGGTTCCACCTTCTGCTGATTTGCATGGCCATTGGAATAGTTGCAAGCTTAACCCAGCAGTATGCAATGCAAATCAGATCAACGTATTGCAAGGTTCGTCTTTCATGTATGAATTGGTATCAAAATCCAAGATAAACAAATCATTATATCCTAATTACTCTGAAATTATATGAACTGATATCGAAATCTACCTCTTTCTTTTCAGGATATGCTTACAGCTCTTATATCATTCTACAAAAATCCGACAAGAGGGGGTATGTTTATAAATTCATGCTTTTCTAATTGCCAAAGTGAGTCACAGGACACATGGTTTGCTGTTGATTCTCCAAGAATACACAATAAGGTAACTCACCTAATCTATAAATATGTTCCCTTTACATACATCATACATGGGAAAACTTGAGAATTTTTTTTAATAACCACATACCATAGCAGAAGCAGTTGGTGATTGGTACTTTGACATAAGAGTAACCAAAGAGATTGATTGCCCATATCCTTGTGATATCACTTACCTTATGTACCTTACACCATCTCCTCTGGTAAAGTCTTTTTATACCCAGAAGGACTGATATTGGCCTAAAACAATATTGTTGTTGTTGCCATTGCCCATTGAAATGCATTTGCAGGTTCAAGGTATGCAAGATTCATTTTCGTTCAACTCCCTGTTGGAGGTGCTACTAATGTTTGAGTAAGTTTTTGTTTTTCTCACTGAAGTTTCAAAATCAACAACTTGGTCACTAACTTAATCAGTTTATAACAAATCGGTCACTCGCAATTCACAATTTCACATCAGTTACTGCAATAATGGAATGCTGACATACATGGCACCCTTTGACCGATCGTTTGACTATTCTTCTTCTTAAAATCAACGAATCCAAAATCAGGCTGCTAAACTGACAGCGGGAGAGAACCAACAAAATGACAAGGCCTCTCTTGCACAATAGATGCTGGAGCTGATGGCCACCTTGAAATGGATACTAAAATGATAGATTTGAATATGAAGCCTCATCGAATACGAACAAAGAATGATTAGAGAATATGAGCAAAGTTCCGTGAGATGATTTTCTGGATATTCTCCAGAAACATAACGATTTCAGTACGGGTACAATTGTTTGATTTCGTTCATTCCTTAAACATTTTACTGTCAACTGATATTCATTTTCGAGTTGAAGTGCAATATTACACCGAGGAATGTTACGTTTATGAAGTTCATAATGCACTGTGAACAACCTTTTTTTGAACTTCGATACATAATCACTGCATCCCATCTCATGATCTAGGTCTCCACCAACACTGAACATGCATATTCAGGAATAAAACCACGTCTATAACTATATTAGCTCCTACACTTTATTTTCCTTGATATATATTGAAAATTCGAAAAAAAATAATTAAACAGGGTCCCAATCAGAAATTGTAAGTTTTATGTACAATGTTTTCATTCAATATGAGCATGTGTCCAAACGTTTCAAAAACTCTAGGAATCCAAGACCTATCAGTCTCATTAACGAGGCAATGAATGTAACCCCTTACCCAACTCAGACGTGTGTATTGGGTATATTGGGTTGGTGATGTTACATTAGGATAACGGAGCGAAAACGAGTGTGAGATCTCAATTTTTAACATCAATAATTCATTAATTTTGGGGAAAAAACCGAAAATAAATGTAATTTTCGGGTAGTTTACCCAAACAAATATTATGTTCGGTTTAGTTGTTACTAAATTTGTCGTGGAAAGTCAAAGATTTCCTTTCCTTAAAATTAACAGCGGGGGAGCAAGCGAGAAAATTCTCCTCCATTTCCCGAGAGAAGGGCGGCTGCCAATGCCTTCCCCATTCATCCATTGCATCAATTTAACCTTCTCTCTTTTTTTCTCTCATTTATATGTGAAACATAGCACTGCGTCATTCACAATCCAATGTTCTTCAGACTAGTCAATATTTTCCATTTCCTCTCGTTGCTTTCTCTTCAGATTTGTAGAAGATTGGTTGGTTCTTTTGGGATTTCGATTTGAATAATGTTTTTCAATCAAATTTTTGTATTCAATGGCCCTGATGGCAGCTTTTAAACGTGTGGGTCAAATCAGACCCAGATCATATTCCTGGAAATTTGGAGTTTCCAGATTTGAAGGACTTGTGTCCCATATTGGTAATCCCACGATTCCTCCCTTAGCTTCTCCTGTACTGTTTTCACAGTGGAGACAGAGTTCTAATCAGCTCGTTAATTCTAATGGAAAGCGACTGTTTCTCATCGACACGTTAGATTTGGTAATTACAAAGATTTCTTCTTTTTGCTCTGTGTTTTTTTTTATCTTTTTAAGATTTTTGAATAAAATGAGATTGGAATGTTTCCTGTTTTTTGAGAAAATG